ATATATTTCATAATGTAAATGTATAACATAACACATAACATATATAAAAAAGGTAAATTTTTATATTCCAATGAAGTTAATTCTAAAATTTTGTGCTAAATTGAAATAGAAGTTTTTTTCGAAAATATGTTTAAAGCAAAATCTAACCTGACGAACATATGTTATGTTTAATCAACCTATCAAATGGAAATATTTCATTAAAATAATTAAAAAACAAGTAAGGAAGGGCCGGTGTAACCAAACAGGAAAATACATTCAGGTGCATAAGGTTTGTTAGCACAACGAAATTTAATATATCTATTATATGGTAGTTTGATTATTGATCCGATTTTTTACATACAAAGATATTATTATCAGAAAAGGATCCCCTTCGAATTTCTTTAATATATCTCACAGACTGACCAATATTTTCGACATATTCCTTATCTGGGCGCATAAATAGCTGTAGTCCGATTTGGAAAATTTTTATAATAAGGTGGCGCACCTCAAAGACACTATTTATGGAAAGTGAAAGAATCAGATGGATTTTAAAATTGTGTTAAATGGAAAGTAAGCGTGGTTGTAGTCCAATTTTCCCATTTTCGCATTAAAACATATGAATACCAACATGATATTACATTCGTCAATATCGGGCTTGTAGGTCGGGAGATATGTGATTTCACCTAACCACGCCCACCGTCCTATGGCTCCTACAAAGTCTTCTTGTATCATCCTAGGTGTAAAATTTAAGTCTCTGTAGAAATATGTATTGATTTATCGCGCTTTTAGTAGTTTTTAACAGAAACGTTATATGAGAAGTGGGCAGGGTGATCAGTCGATTTCAATCATTTTCACAGTGTCGATAGGGTTGCCTAAGGCATTTGTCGTGGGCCACGCTCATCTAAAAAACAAGTATATTATATTTATATATTGTTAATGGTATGTGAGGTATCTTAATGAAACACAGAGATAATTTGTTTCTCTTAATAATATGTAGTAATGCCAAAAATAGATCAAATCATGTCAATACTACACCTTTCCCCCATATATCCAATAAAAGATTTTCAAAGTTCCGGTTGGTCTTATACCGTATATATCGGTCAATATGCAAGATATCTTAGCAAAATTAACTGAACATATAACATTGTATATTCTTTAGTTTAATGCCTAAAATAGGTGAAATTATATTATACTACTTATAGTAATTTTCGTTATTTTATTCTAACAAATCTTATTATATTAATGGTTATAGCTGGATAAGAATGCAGTTATTCTAGACCTTAGCTTAAACCAGAGAACGTAAATGGACGCGAAGGTGCAAATTGAATTTTATATGTTACTCGATTGAATTCTTCTAAGTTCTCTGCTTAAACCTCACATCCCTAATATCATCAATTCCGATCTTCTGGTTGACGTTTTCACATCAACTCAATATATTAAATTAAGGCTCTTCGGTTAAGTTTATGTCAGATATATATTCTTTCGCAAAATTTTTATACCCTAAACAGGGTATATTAAGTTTGTCACGAAGTTTGTAATATCCAGAAGGAAACGTCGGAGACCCTATAAAATATATATTGTACATAAATGATCAGCATGGTGAGCTGAGTTGATTTAGCCATGTCCGTCTGTCTGTATATATACAAACTAGTCCCTCAGTTTTTGCACCTGTCCTTTTCTCACTAAGAAGCTGCTCATTTGTCGAAACGGCCGATATCGGGCCACTATAGAATATAGCTTGTCATACAAACTGAACAATCGGAATCAAGTACTTGTATGGGAAACTTTTTTATTTTACGTAATATCTTCACGAAATTTGGCATGAGTTATTTAGATCGGATCACTATCGCCACACAAACTGAACAATGGGAACCAAGTGCTTGTATGGAACAATTTTACATTTGTCGAGGTATCTTAACGAAATTTGGCATGGATTATTATTTAAGGCAATAATGCAATATCCGAAATTGTATAGATCGGATGACTAAAGCATATAGCTGCCATACAAACTGAACGATCGGAATGAAGTGCTTGTATGAAAAACTCTTTTATTTGAGGAGGTATCTTCACGAAATTTGGCATGGATTACTATTTAAGGCAATTATGCAATCTCCGAAGAAATAGTATAGATCGGATCACTATAGCATATAGCTGACATACAAACTGAACAATCGGAACCAAGTGCTTGTATGGAAAACTCTTTCATTTGACGAGGTATCTTCACAAAATTTGGCATGGACTATTATTTAAGGCAACAATGTATTCTCCGCAGAAATTGTTCAGATCAGATCACTATATCATATAGCTGCCATACAAATTGATCGCTTAAGTTTTTGTAAGGATACTTTGTATTTGTGAAGGATAATATAGCTTCGGTGCAACCAAGTTAACGTTTGTTTTTGTTTAATATGAAGTTTTGTCAACACCTGAAAGTGTATTCCCAGCTTTGTTCCCTTCAAGTTGCAAAAGTATGAAATATTCGGTTACACCCGAACTTAGCCTTTCTTTACTTGTTTACTATAAAGTTTCGCCAACATATTTTCCCGGCTTTGACCCTTCCAAATTGCCAGAGAATTAAATTTCGAGTATGGCCAAACTTAGGCTTTCCTTATTTTTAATGCTTTAAATCTTTATACATGTGTTTCTATACTTAAATACCAGAGAATTAAATTTCGAGTATGCCCAAACTTAGGCTTTCCTTATTTTTAATGCTTTTAATCTTTATACATGTGTTTCTATATTTAAATACACCCCTAGTTTAAGAGTAATTTATTTATGACTTGCAAATGATATTAAATACTAAATATTTGTAAAATTTTACCAACTGGTAAAAATGTTGTAAAATTGTACAACTATATGTTTGCAATATTTTATTTTTATGTAAATTCTGCAAAAAAGCAAACTCCATTCATATTATAATTGCAAAATAACGATATTTCAACAATTTCCTTTTGAACTGATTTTTGTTTAACAGGAAAACAGCGTGTATGCAAAAAACACCGTTAGGGAATAATAAGGAAGTTGTAAAACTATAACATTAAGCCTTGGGAAGTTAAAATTTTCATACATATATTCTAAATATTTTCCAAAATGCTTGTGATCAATTTAATCGCATGCATGACTGTAATAATATTGTGGACACATAAAAGCTACCAATAAGAACAACGTACATACGTATTTTCGTATGTACAAGTATGTTGTGTTTTGTATGTACATACGTGCTGTATATATAAGTATAGCGCTAAAATATGCAATACGTACATGGTAGCTGGAACAAATAAAAACTAAAGTAGTTTATCATATAAATTTATTGCACTTATCGTGGTCGAGTTTTTTGTTCGAAAATTGTACGTTAAATAGAAAAAAATTTATGTAAATATATTTTAAAAGATGCACCAGCACAAATAAATACCAGCATTTTATTTAATGATCTATTTTTGGATAGTGCAGCAACTCACCTTAAGAATTTAATTTTACATAACTATCAAATAAATTTTTGCTGGAGTGTTTTGATTGCTTCTGATAAATAGTCATCGTCTATGATTAAAAAAACAATATAGATAGTCTTTGTAATTTCAAGTCAATATATGATGCATTTCAAAAAAGATTCCATTCCTTAAAATGTATACCTTAAAGACAGCACAAATATAATATAGAATTCTTTAGAAAGTTGCTTTACTATAGTCAAGGAATGTCACGTGTTAAGAGTTGCGGTTACTGCGTACCCACTGTAATCGAAACAATGCGATAATAAGGTCAACGTTGAAAGGTTCTGAACTTTCGATCACGCGAACGCAGTGTGCTAACAAAATATAAAACTGAGCATCAAACAAAAAACATTTACAACGCATACTCAACAATATACAATACAATCTATAGGCTGGTTGAAAAGTGTCCGCGCTCGAAATCAAAAAATACAATTTTTTAATTCAATATCATCTCCCTTAACTTCAATACACTTATTCCAATGATCCTCCAATAAATTTATGCCATCCCTATAATGACTTTCCGGAAGCTCATGCCCGTCTACGGTTGTAATAGCTTCTTCATAGAGGTAGTAGTCGCTGGGAGCTAAATCTGGTGAGTACGGTGGATGCTCAAGCAATTCGTACTTTAATTCGTCGAATTTTGTCATTGTTAAAACACCTTTGTGAGCAGGTGCATTGTTTTGAGGAAAATTTATATTTTTGTGCTGCAAACCAGATCTTTTCTCACTAATTTGTTCATCCAGCTGATCCAAAAGGCTGCAATAATATTCAGAGTTAATTGATTTACATTTCTGCAGATAATCAATCAACAAAATCCCTTTTGCAACCCAAAAAACTGATTTCATAACCTTCTTTGCTGATCGTTGTGACTTCACCTGCTTTGGAGCTGAACAACCAACTTCAGTCCATTGTAAACATTCTTGTGTCAATTTAGGATAATGGTGGTAGATCCAAGTCTTATCCATAGATATAAAACGATGCAAGAAATCGGTTTTATTATACTTAAAATGCTCCAAATTAGGCTGAGAAATTTGTTTTCGATCCAGCTTTTGACTTTCCAAACAGCTTTATCATATGTAATTCTCCATGTAAAATATGAAGTACTCGTTCGCCTGAGATGCCTATGGCATTAGCGATTTCACGCTTAGTCAAACTTGGATTTTCACTAATAATATTATGACATTGCTTACTGATTTCTGGTGTGGTTGCGGTTTTTGGCCGTTCTTGGGGAGGATTGTCTTCAAGCCTAGTACGACCACATATAAATTTACCAGCCCAAAATTCAACGGTGCGTTTTGAAGGTGAGGGCTTCTTATATACTTCTAACAATTGTTCATAAGCTTCCTTTGCTTTTAAAGCTTTCAAAACGAAGAATCTAATCACTGCGCGATATCCAATTTTTTCCATATTTTAAAAAATACTCTGACACGTCAATTTCAAACGTCTATAGTCTCATGGGATTACAAAAAACCTTGAAAATAATTATGGAAAAAAATTAAATTATTTCTTTACAAAGTTTGATAATAATCAGTATTTAAATTGTTTTTATTTAAGCTTTATTGAAAGTATTAGTTATTGTCGCATTATATTTTTACGTACTTCATTAACGAAAATATTATATTCAGATGCGGATACATACATATAAGGTAATTAATATATTAACATATATTATATAACGATTATTTATTAGTTTTAGCCCGCTGCATCATTGATTTCGGTCCAAGCATATTCTGTGGTTTTACCCAATCAATAAATTGCTGTTCGGTTAAGTAACCTAAATTTATTGCTTCTTCTTTAAGAGTAGTACCATTCTTGTGAGCTGTTTTAGCTATTTGTGCCGCCTTATCGTAACCGATATGCGGGTTTAATGCTGTCACCAACATTAAAGACTCGTTCATGATCTTATTGATGCGATCTTTGTTCGGTTGTATATCGTTAATACAATTGCAGGTAAAAGTCCGACAGGCGTCAGAAAGTAATCGAATAGAACGGAGTACATTCGAAACCACCAATGGCTTGAAAACATTCAATTCAAAATGCCCGTTAGATCCTCCTATAGTAACTGCGACATGATTGCCAATCACTTGTCCGGCAACCATCGTAATTGCCTCACATTGTGTGGGGTTTACTTTCCCTGGCATAATTGAGCTACCTGGTTCATTTTCGGGTAACATCAGCTCACCAAAGCCACATCGGGGTCCAGAACCGAGAAAACGTATATCGTTAGCTATTTTAAACACACTGCATGCTATTGTGTTCAATACCCCACTTACTTCTACCATTGTATCACGTGCTGCTAGCGCTTCGAATTTATTCGGTGCAGATACAAATGGTAAACATGTCAATTCGCCAATTCTTTTTGCAACTTTTTCAGCAAAACCTTCAGGTGCGTTAAGTCCCGTTCCTACAGCAGTTCCGCCAAGAGCAATTTCATATACCCGTGGAAGGCATGCATCGATTCGATGAAGAGCATAAGTCATTTGTTGTGTATAACCACTGAACTCCTGACCCAGTGTTAAAGGTACAGCATCCATTGTATGTGTTCGTCCTATTTTTATAATATCCTTGAACTCTTCCGATTTCAGTTTTAAACCTTCATGCATAAATTCAATATTCGGTTTTAGTGTATTTACTAGTTGCATTGCTACAGAAATATGAATTGCAGCAGGGAACGTGTCATTTGAGCTCTGAGACATGTTTACATGATCATTTGGATGGACAGGTTTTTTGGAGCCCAATTCACCACCCATTAATTCGATAGCACGATTACTAATAACTTCATTACAGTTCATGTTTGTTTGCGTACCTGATCCTGTTTGCCAAATAACTAAAGGAAAGTGGTCTTTGTATAATTTGCCAGATATTAACTCGTCGCAAGCCTTCGAAATATTTTCAGCTATTTTGCTATCCAATCCATATTCTCTGTTCACCTCGGCGGAGGCTTTCTTTAATATTCCCATTGCTATTATTATTTCTTTTGGCATTTTCTCCCTTTTTCCTCCAATCGGGAAGTTAATTTTTGACCGAAGAGTTTGAGCTCCATAATACTTATCAGCAGGAACTTGAAGTTCTCCAAAAGTATCGGTTTCCTTCCGATAGTTTATTTTTTTTGTTTTATCATCATTAGTTGTACTACTAAAGTTCTTCCCTCTAATATGAGTATCATTGAAAAATGTACTTATTTCCTTTAACGTTGACGTCACCAATCTAAGATTTTTATAAACCATTTCGAGCACAGAAACTGAATGAACATATGCATGTATACGTACATATTTATTTTCTATTTTGAAATTTGAATCTATGACGGGAATAGAAAAATATACTGAGTGGAATAATACTTTTGCACTGCTTAAAGTTTTTGGATTAAACTCTAAGCAGTTATCATTATTTTAAGTGAATACATTTGAATGCTTTTTATATTGTGAACGATGGCCATACTCAATGAAAACTAAACACATTTTGTTTTTCCATAAAGGCTAGTGTTCTAAGACTTTTTTATTCAGCTTAATATTCAAATTATGTATTACTCGTATTAAATATTTAACATTTAGCGATAGTCCAGAGGTTTAGTTAGGCATCATAGGGCACAATATGTACATATGTTATTTTACAAATTTGAAGCTAATTTTTGCACAGCTGACACACTTGTACTATAAGAAGCTACATATAAGTAAAGCAATGTTTTAGAATAGTAAACATTAAAAAATAAGGACAGCAAACAGTAGCGCAGAACTAATTGCACTCTTATGTACTGAAGCGATACGGCGTGCAGCCACCACAAGCAACAAACGGTACATTGCACATTAATGGGAATTCTTAACACCAATTGCTAACCAACCTACCTGTTGCCGCAATATTGCGAAAGAAATTACTTCAATACTGCACTGGATGTGCCGGTTCGATTGCTATCTAAACGACAACTAAGCAACAACATTAATCATACAATGCCAGGAAGTAGTAAAATAATGTAAAACAAATTTCTCTCGCCATAGCTTAAGGTATATTTTTAAGAAAATGAGAAAAAAAATTAAATTAATTATGAACTAGTTGCTTATTAAAAATTGATAGAAGAGCATTGAATTTTTTACATTGCCTAAATATTGTAGTTCAAATTATACAATAATTAAAGTAAAAAATCCGCAACGAAAACAACAAAACTGCGAGCACGATTTGGCTGCACAGTAACTATCTACGAGAATCTACTACACTTGGAACTACTTGAGTCATCTCTAAACCGCAACCAGTCCAAAATTATTATAAAGAAGTTATAACTCTAGAACTAAATTTCTATTACTGTTTCATGACACATTCGTCGCACAAACATCTTTACAATTTAAAAATAATTTTGTACTACTTATTCTTACGACGTCCTCTAACAAATATCGACAAAGACTGGCCATATCTACTTTCATACAATGTCGCGTTTTTGGCATTCAATTGCGGTATATATTTTTTGCAACAATAAGCGAAATCGGTGCGTACGTAGCTCTTATAATGATTGTAATGATCCCGTATTTCCGATAAACTTCATCCAAAAAATCGATGTTTTATACGTTTCCGTCGGAATTTAACCCATCCTTACTTTGATAAGTTTTCTTTAGGAACACATGTTTCCGGTATACTTTTCAAACGAACAAATGTGAGCTGAAAAGACTTTGGCCTGCCCGAGAGATCAATAGAATAATGTCAATGTTTCATGACATTTCTTTCCATTGTTCTCAATGTTACGCTGCTCTGATATTTATGTTTACAAAGGAAAATATGAATTTCGTGTTTTGATAAAAATTACTCTACAATCAGATGAAAATTGTGAGGGAGAATAAAGTCATATTTTTATTAAAAATAAGTTCTTTTATTGTTAGGCCAAAGACTTTTCTATTCATTATAAGCAGACACTTAACCAAATTCTTATGTTTGCAACAATGACGTTAACGCTATTATTTATTTAAACAAACTTCATGCATTTGAAATAAAAAACAATAAATTTACTGAAAGAAACTTTATTACAATGTTTGTGAAATAATTAGTTACACTAGACTAATATAATTGACCATGCCTTGAATGTAAGTAAACCACAATCCGAATTATGCAGCGAAGCATTATAAGTAAACATGCAATCGCATTAACCTAACCACGAGAAATGTAGCTTAATTATAAGTTAAAATAGAAGAATACGTAGTATGCACAAATTAGTCTTAATATTTACCACAGATCGTTGGTACAGGATTCAGTAACTATGTACGTACCATATAAGTATATATACTTGTATTATATGTATGATGAATATACTAACATATACTATTAAGGCTACGAGTAATAATAATTTGGTAAGACTTTGCTCCAATGGTTCAATCCAAATACTTTTTGGTAAACCTTAAATAAGCGTGATTCTGGTTAGTTGCTGTCTAGTTTACTACGTTTTAATGAAACCTTAACAATATGCGAATGATATGTGCAATGAAACAGATGTGATAAATTATGAACGTTCCTTGTAATATTATATTCAGTTATGGATGGAGCAATTAATTTAATTATTACATATATTTCATCTTAGTCTTGCAAGTGTGAAAACTACCAAAATTTTTTCCACATAATCTAAAAAATTAAAATATTTGTATTTTATTGGACATAAAAATAGAGTCAAAACCAAAATGGTGTTTTTGACTTAAAAATTATGTTTAAAACAAGTAAGGAAGGGCTAAGTTCGGATGTAACCGAACGTTTTATACTTTCGCAAAGTCAAATGGTATACTCGTTTTAGATTTCTTTGTGGATCTTGCCGCCTTGTTCTATGTTGACCGATATTTTCGGTAAAAAGTCAACTATAATCACTGGGGTCCACATATTCAGTAGCTAGGGGCTTGAACAGTTTTGGTTCAATTTAGACAATTTTTGGCCACAAGGTGGCATACTTTAAACGCATCATTCACGCAAAGTTTTACACTGATACAATCATTGTTGCTTGATTTGCATAGTGGAAAGTGAAAGAATCAAATGGAATTTAAAATGGTATTATATGGGAAATAGGCGTGGTTGTAGTCCGATTTCGCCCATTTTCGCACTATAACATAGAATATGAAAAGAATGTTATGTACCGAATTTGATTGAAATCGGTTAAGCGGATCCCAAGATATGGGTTTTCACCTAAAAGTGGGCGGTGCCACGCCCACTCAGTAATTTTGAACGCGGTTACTATAAAGTCATCTCATACCATCCTAGAGATAAAGTTTAATGTCTCTGACTTGTTTAGTGCTTGGTTTATCGCGCTTTTAGTATTTTTTAACAGTACCGTTATATGGGGAGTGGAGGTTGTCACCCGAATTCACCCATTTTCACACTGTAGGTAGAGGTGCTAGGAACATTTGCTTCCAGTGCATTTTGTTATTATAGCTTTAGCAGTTTAGGAGATATGCACATTAAACCTATTAGGGGCGGGACCAAATTTTAACTACAGATGCCCTTCCCTAATGTGATCCTGTGTACCAAATAACAGTTTTGTATCTAATTGCGGAGCTTAGTTATGGCAATTTATTTGTTTTTTATTAATGGCATCTTGTGGGCGTGGCAGTGGTCCTATTACGCCCATCTGCAATACCAACCGTCTTACGGTACCAAGAAACATATGTACCAAGTTTCATAAAGATATTTAAATTTTTACTCAAGTTACAGCTTGCATGGACGGATAGACGGACGGACAAACAGTCACCCGGATTTCAACTCGTCTCTTCATCCTGATCATTTATATATACATATAACTCTATATCTAACTCGATTAGTTGCGAGGGTATAATTAATAGTGGTAGAATAGCCCTTATTAGTAATTTCGTCCATGCAGCGTTTTGGGTGCGTATATGTGTATCTCACCTTTCCTCCTTCATTGATTATACCGTTTTCTAGCCATGACACGGTACATATGTATAGTAAATACATATTTAGACATATATGCGTGTGTACATAAGAAAATTTAAACATTACAAAAAGTGGCAATGAACTTTGTCAACATGGTAAAAACATCGTGCCATTTATGCGTACTGATTGTGTATATACACATATTTTTGTATAAAAGCAATAATAAGTAGTCAACATAATGGTACTCAAATGTTTTGTTATGAACGGATTGGTATTATTGACACTTGGTACCTATTAAAAGGCAGCTCAAACAATGCTCACGATAGCTACCTACATATGGACATGTATAAGTACTTTAAGAGCACGATTGCTTAATGTTGTTCTCAGCCCTAGTCACACCATAGTCTCAAAACAGTTCCGCTAGTGTCTACATACATTTCCATTGTGGCCCTGGTGATCATTCTCACAGTTAGGTAATTCGTCAGCTCATAACCGCAAATCGGTATTTGGCACTTAGCACCATCAGCACATGTACAAACATATGTATGTACATTAGGGTGGCCGAATACAATGTTACAATTAAGAGCTGATACTTAGAGTACCTTTCTTAGAAGTGTCTACCAACCAATTTTTCAGAGCACTAAGCGAAAAAAAAATCGTTTTTTTACCCACCCTATCCTGTGTATATCTGAACTTTTAATAAAATAAATATAACAAACAAAAAACAAAACATATTAATGATAATGTTTACATAAATATAAACGCATATGGTATATTAATTGCTGTATTTGCACCTATGTATATATGTATGTGTATGACGGTCTACTACGATCCCAAATTTATACTTATGCGTAGCTTGGTTGCACTACTTTATTTTGTATAGCTGACAGTTCTCCTATCTTAGGTATTAGTACCTATTCAATTTAAACTGGAATCTACAAGTATAATATCCTCCATATAAAAATGAATCCCTATTTCCCTGGTCTCGCTATAACTGAGAAGGCGATAGAATTTAATTAGGTAACCACATTTCTGAACAAACGATGCACTTTCAATATAGTCTATGGCTGTGAATGACGATGACATTCGTTACGCGCGTTTTTTAATATATGCAAAATTAAATGTATTTTTTCAATCTTTCTGAGACATTTTCTTAATATTTTTTTCCGTAAGAACCTTCTACAGAGTATTAGAAAACTACAAAAAAAAACCAGCCAAATCGGTCTAGCGGTTCTCAAGTTATGGCGTGACAACGGGAAACGGGTTTCGAGATTGATTCACCTTTCAACACACACAAAATGTAGTCCACTTTCAATAAATACTAATTACATTCCGAAATTCCTAAACATGAAGAGAAATGAAATTGTTTAACAAATAACAGTAATAGTAGTATTATGTACAGATTTTACTAAAGAGAATAGCATTATATATATGTATGTATATATTGATTTATCTCGGTTTACACCAATTGCAGAAGTACTTGTACGCCCAATGATATTATAAAGCAGTCATCAATTGCAGTGCCTACGATAACAAACAGACTTTCCTTATCTTTCATCAGCATCTGCACTGTGAGATCCCACCACGCCTGTTGAGCAAGAAAAAGCAGCAATCACAAAACGTTTGGCGACGGTAATGATTTTGTGATGTATAAATCACTATATACAAAACAAATCTGTAATACAGCAGAGATTTTCCAACAATTAACAATTACGTTAACTTCAACAGTAGCAGTGATAGCAGTACCAATAGATCATGGATAAACTTTCATAGTTTATAACCGAACCAATAACAACAATAATAGAAGCAAACACAGAAGCACAACAGTTATAAGAAAATTTGCTTATTCGCGCTGCCATTATTATCAAATATTGCAGGTTTTACTGCCACTACATCGGTCTCAGCTGTCCAGAAAATGATCAGTGAACAGTCTCTAACGCTGGCTTTTCGTGGTGGAGTTAGTTTAATCGATAAGCAATTGAGGAGTATTGGTGCAAATCCGATTACTTCCTCTTCAACCGCAGCGGCTGCCTATCAATATTTAGATTTAACAGCGTCATCGGAGAAACATAATATGTTAAATAATATCAATATGGAGTCGACGACAAGTAATACAATTAAAAATTGTAACATCAGTTCAAATATCAATAATAGGAATAACTGCAGCAATAATATAATCAACAATGTAATGATTAATCAAGTGCCTAATACTCTCAGTGGTTCTGCTGGTGGTGCAGCTAACGCTAACCTATCAAACAGTTCTTATCAAAAATATTGCCCACAATTGCAGTCATTCCAAACAAATCCTCAGAAACAACAAACAGCTAAAAAGAAACAACTACAAAATATCTCTAACAATGTGAAGAGTGAAAGACTTAGTCCAGGAACCAACGGAGATCATCAGTCATCAATATCGAGGTATAATAAAAATTGGAAAATGTGCATATTATAATGACTTCGGCCGCACTGAAGCTTTAATACCATTCGCAGGTGCATTTCTTGTACCAACTACAAGTATATGTATAACTAAATCTGAAAACGTAACCGGCCAAAGGAAACATTGTACTAGTTCTTTGGAGCCATGTTGTTAGACATAAACAATCTTCAGGTCAAATTAAGGTTATTTATTGAGGAAAAAATATTTTTTATGAAGATCTTTATATTTTGTTTGAACGGTTAGTTTGAATGGGAGCTATATGCTATAGTGGTCGAATCTGAATAATTTGTTCGGAGATTTTAGCGTTGCCTTGGACAATAATCTCAAAATTTCAGATCGATATCCCAAAACCTGAGGGACTAGTTCGCATATATTCAGACAGAGGAACATGGCTAAATCAACTTAGCTCATCACGCTGATCATTTATATTTTATATGATTTCCGACGTTTTCTTCTAGGTATTACAAACTTCGTGTAAAACTTAATATACCCTGTTAAAATTGTAAAAGTACGAATTCCTCAGCTTTATCTATTTAGAAATAAAAAACTTCGAAAATATTATATCTTAAAAAGTAAGAAAATAATCAAAACATACATGACTTTTGGAATATTTGAAGATATGTAATTAACAATTTATAGCATCGACCCAACAAGTTTATGTCTAAAAAAAAATTACCTCCATATTTGCTTACTTTAATGAAAATACATAAATATACAAAAATATACATCGAGTACATATTAATACTCATGAGGGATATATCACTGAACGCCTACACACTACATGAGGAACACAAATGTGTGACATGAGTCACAATCAGAAGATCTAAAATTTAAATTTTAATTATCCTAACCTCTTATTTTCTTAGACTTCGTTTTGAATATTACAATAAATTTCCTTATATTGATTGAATTCATATGTTTATATATGTACATTTCTTTTCTTTCATTCGCGGATTTTCAGATCCCGAAGCACCACACCTTCATCGTTCCGTGGTCCTTCTCCACAACAAATTTTTTCGGAAGCCCTAATGCCACTAACTTCGCTCTTGCGTATTCAAGAAGTCACCTCTGCGGGGCATCAAACTCCATGCGTTACTGCTGCTAGCACGGATACGGCTGATTTAGGAAAGACAACAACTGTGTTTCAGACAGATTTTTCGTCGAGGAACTATTCCGATATTATGCGCAGTTTAGCAGCGAAATATAATGATGTCAACGCAATAAAGTAAGGATAAAAGCATATATATAGTTGTAAGAATAAAAGCATATATTAATAGTCCTTGGTTTTACTCAAATTTATTAGCTCCATTTCGACTCGTAATCAATTTTTTGATACTTCATCGTCGACTTCTTCTATTCCCATTGTCAACAAGAATGTAAATCAGAAAAGTGGCAATAGGAACGTTGCTGGGGCTTTGTCGGGTTCCTTGACAAGTAAAGATGCATCGCCTCAATTGATACCTCGATTATCCATGTCTCAAGGGGAAGTAGCGGTAGCGGCTGCTGCCGCTTCATTTCTGAGTAGTCTCCCATTCTCACAAAGTGTGTGTCTCCCAATGATAGATATGAGCAGTACTCAAGCATTGATTACTTTGGTAAGCTGCTAAACTAAAATTTTAAAATTTAGCATTTTCATTTTTAACTTAGAACTTCTTGTCCAAAATATTATCTCCATTGGCATTTATGTAGGCGCGTGCAGCTAAAGAAGCAGAGGTACAGACCATACTTCGATCTTTCCAGCAAAACTCAAAGCAAATGAACTCCAATTCAATCTTATCGCATCCCAACCTCGGTGTAGCATTGCAACAGGCCGCTCAATATGTATCACCTGCGCTCAGTGTTCCCGTCCAGCAGATTGCGCCTTCACAACAGTCTAGTCCTCAGTATAAATCAATTTCTACATCAACTAGCTCCAGTGTTTCAACATCCAAAAGAAAATCGACACCATCCACAAGCACAACCACCGTACCGCTTGACTTGAGCTCTCAACCCCCAGCGACTAAAAGATTTAAAGTGGAATTAAACGCAGCAAGCCAAAGTAACGAATCATATGGGTTGAATGTATCTATTGGACGTATCTTATCAAATGAAGTAAAATCCTCCCCATCACCAATGTCTGAAAAGAAATTAGTCCCTGGTTCCACGAAGAATAATGCCCGCTTAACCTTTTCACCGGAACCATCCACGCCCTGCAATACTGCTATTCTAAAATGTCAAGCTGAAAGTGTGGAAATCGCCCAATGGACAGTGGACGACGTGTGTGCTTTTGTAGGTGATATTGATATCTGCGCAGACTACGTTCATGTAAGTTCACATATTTATACTTATCTTTTAACTGCTCTAACCTATTTTATTAATTCACTCAAAATTTGCTAATAACTACAAATTTCTGTTATGACATATTTTTATCTTTACACAAGTGCTACTTTTAACAAGAAGTACAGTACTTTTAACAAGAAGTACAGTACTTGTAAACTTCGGTTTCCTAAAAATAAGAGTGGTAAATAAGAACTGTGTGTGTATAGTATTAATATTATAATACAATATACAATATTCTTTGGGAGTAAATGAAAATCAAAACATCGACTTCTAAGTATAGTTTTTTGAACGACTACTTCTGCGAAACTTTATATGCAGGCCAAGATCTTACATTTGCACCCATTCACATAAATGTACATAAATGTGTTCATCATTCATTCTTTTAGAACTGGATATTTGACACTACTATTACTTTTGCTGTACATGCGTATGTATGTATATATATATGTGTGTCTTCGTAAATATTTCTTTAACTTAGTCAGTATATAAAATATGTAACGACCATTAAGTATAGCCAGCTATCACATTCTAGAGCTCTAGGCCGTCCATGCATCGTCAAATATGCGTAGCCGACCTATGTTGGTTGGACTTGAAGCTGCATGTCACACCGCTTTTGAACTAAATTGGAAAGCAGTTGGAGTAAGAATATTAAATTATATTTATGGCTACGACGACACTTGAATATCTCGTTGAGATGTTGCCATCAGTAGCGCAACGGATGCTGTCGATTTTTATATACATATAAACACACTGATACTATATTTTTCTATGTGTTGTTACATATGTACATACTTTGTTACTGTTCATGCGCTTGTCAAATACCTGATATCGTCGTACACCTCCGTATAACCACTTTGGTAAACTTGTATTTGCAATGTTACGCCTTTATTATATCCGCTGGGTCGTTTACTTTGCTAGGTAACTCACCTTCATTTCTCCTTGCTATATAAGTAATGGTAACACTGTATATATAAGTATTAGTACATACATGCATGTTTTTGCTGTTTATTGACTGGTTCGTTTGGTCAGCAAAGCAGGGCTTATATATTGATAGATCTAAATGTATAATAAAAACGGAAATGAAAATTAGGTATGCCATTCAATTTACTTCGAGAGTGTAACATATTTGACACCATGCTACCATTTTCATTACAAGTTCAGTACCGTTTGTTCAAAGATTTTCAAATCCCTTTTCACTCTTTCATCGCTTTCAAATTTGCCAAAAATGTCGATTAATATATTCAGTCCAATCCCTCATTAGCGCTTCACAGCGAGTGAACAAAGAGCGACTGGCATCTCTTATAACCTTGAATTTCAGAACACGGAATGGCGGTTAGCGTTGAACGTTTAATTAAGATTTCTTAAACAGTTATATAGCATGAGACATAACTCCTTGTGTTAGTGTTTCGATCAGCGAGATAAACAAACGCCCTCGTTTCGATTTAACATTCCGCCTGTTTTGAGAATTCCATTAACCCAAGAATCTTTGAAGGGCTAACATATGATGCCAATGATTGTGGTGCGCTTTTATTATTACTCGCATAAAAATCAGAATTTGCCTGAATAAAATTAAGATAAACTCAATTAATAGAGACTTAATAAAAATTTGGTTAATAAATTTGGTTTAACATATTAGGTTAATTTCATGTGACAAGATCATTGGAGATATCGAGAAACATTTATTATATTTCGAACATGAACGCAAGAATCATAATTGCAAATTTAACCATATACCCAAAAACACTCCCATTAAATGTGTAACTTATGCAAACCAAAAGAATGCTTAATAATACAAGTATATGTATATATTAATTATTTGTTAGTTTGTATGTATTAAGAAAATAATACTATTTTATATATATGTTTTATGTAGCATTTTCGTGATCAATGCATTGATGGCAGTGGATTGCCCTTGCTAACTGAAGATCATTTGCTTAATTCTTTGGGTATGAAATTGGGACCCGCATTGAAATTACGGTCAAAATTAGCGAAGAGACTCGGTGGTCCCTGCCCATGTGTGGCATGCATTGCACGAGCACGGCAAATGCTAGTTTTGCAAGCAGAATCTAAGAATGATCAACCAAAGACTGCTATAATGTCTACCGAATGTTCGCCAACAGAAATTAATACCATAGGATGTGAGGAAAGTGTTGAACTTCCCAAAATCAAAGACACAAATGATACAACAAAAGAAACCTTTAAAAATATACATAAAGTTTCACAAAATCAGCAGTTACTTGCGGAAGGACGAGAAACAAAGATATGCAGCATTAGTGACAATAATGATAGAACCAACAATTGCAGCTCACTTAAACTACAAATATGCGCCAACATATATAAAAATGAAACAAACAACAACCATCACAACAATGACGAAGTAAATATAGAGAATTTTAATACCGGAACAAACGTTAATGATAAAACATCTAGTTACATTCTCGATACCACTTTTAAATCCCAATCTAATGATATCTGTTTAAATAATAAAAAAAGTTCCACTAACAGCAACGTCGTACTGGGAAGCCAGTTTGGAAACTTATCGGATGAGGGTAGTTAGTTTTGGATCTATTACTGCTTTTGTTTACGAATTTTATGGTTGAAAGAAGTTTTTATTTAAAATTTTCATGTGTACATGCGTATAACATTTTATAAATTTATTTAAAATTTTCTTGAAGTAAAATATGTGTAAAAACTAATCTTTAAAACTCTCAAAAACTTAGCAGCTATTTTTAATTTGCTCATAATAAATATAGCAAGGCATAAAATATGCACAATGATAGTCAGTCCATTTGTGCATATCGCAATAAGAATTTTCATAATTTGCAGTAAGGCGAACATGCCGATAATATTACGTTTAATATATGTAAGTTTTACAACTCTCCAGTTATATAAATGTTTTACCGATTGCATAAACATTTCAGTCAAACACTTGACCTAAAACTTACAAATAAATAAAATTTTGGGAATATGTTAGTTATCTTTAAAGCAAAATATTTAATGATAGTAATTTCAAAATTTGACTCTAAAGAAACATAAAGAAGAAGTAAATTTCTAGAGTGAATGAATGTAACAAAATTTTAAAATTTAAATGTAATGTAAGGGTGCGTTCGAGCTACCTAATAATTGCAGCAATACAGTTTGTTGCATATTTGCTGATACTCTGCTGTTATGCAAACAAAAATTTAGTGTTGCCGAAAGTGACAGTAGAATCACGTTCTACTGTGTGCCAAAATTCACGCAGAACGTGATTTGCAACACTGCTGTCGTGATCGCCATCTCGAACGCACCCTAACAGTAACGGTAACACATTATTAAATTACTAAAATTCAAAATTTTCGCGTTTTACTTCAAACGAGACTACGAAATTTTTCACCGAAAGCCGTTTAAAAAATGTATTTACATATTATATATAAAGCATTTATATCTAGTACTCAAATTTATGAGTCGTAAACATTTCATATAAATTTTGAGTTCCAGTTTTTTAAAAAGCATATTGCTTTATATGGGTTATAAGTGAATATTATAAACAACAAGAGATCAAAGTCTTCCACTGACATTGTTATAAATAAAATATTTTAGCAGGAAACTTGCACAATGTAATATGTATATGTAATTTCTTTTAAAGACAAGAGTACATGAACACATTTGAAGGATCCTTGTAAATTAATATGATTTCGTTTTTATACTGTTACTATACTTATGAGTAATTTTTAAAGCCGAAAAGATTTATTAGTCAAATTATTATGCGAACTACCTTCTGTATCCACCCTATAAAAAGTACTTAAGTTTCTAGAAACATTTAGTTTAGCATGTAATATTTAATGTAATCTTCGTTTATATTTAAGGAATAAGCAATATAGTCAACTTTGATACAATACACATATTATACATATATATATTTTATTAAATTACTGATTTATTGATAAGTTATTTATTCCTAGTCAGTATAAGATAATCAATATTTATGGATATAATCGTGCGCTTTATGCAAAATGCCAAAATTTGTTCAACATTATTATTTAAAACATTTCTATCTTTATGAAATTAAAATATCCCTAGCATTCATAAGTTAAAGTCTTTTCAATACAGATTCTAGTTGTGGTGCCCTTCTATATAGATAGATAGACAGATAGATTAATTTTGAGGTATGCACCGCGACCTATGTCGCAGTTTGCAAAAGAGGCTGTGCCTATGTTGAAGAGGTGCTTCTTCAGCCTGCAATGGCCGGTGTAGAACGCGACAAGTAGCCGGAATTTGTTTCTCGGGAGATTAATTACGGCTTTAAATCGTTTGAGGTCGTTAACCCCCCATTAGCAGCCTGGCATGCCCTTCTATATACATCAACGTGGTAAATTTAATTTGTATATATGTTATATGTATATAGAAAACTTTTATTTCATTTCAGATTAATCTTCTATTGAACTTAAAATGGGACGCTAATAAGGCTAAAACTTTGACTAAAGTACAAAAATTCAAAAGATTTTTAGAAAAAAATCATATATGTACAATATTTGTAGAAAACACACAATTTTTGGTCGGTTCTTTGCATATAATATACAATACATATATTTTTTGCATTATCTGTGGTTCTACTATATTTTAATAAGAATATTTTGACAATTCTACATTAATACTTCACATTTCAATCTTATCGGTAGAGTAAGTTAGATATAATTGGTTTAGGAAAATGCGAAAAGATGTGGTATGTGTACGTCACATTTTTTGCAATAAAAACAATAAAAAAAATTTATGTAACATTCAGAAAACAAAAATTAATTATGACTGACCCGTTTTCAAGCTTTAACACATTCAATTCACAAATATTTAAAAGTTATATTACTGATTGATTGGTATAATTTTTTCGCGTTTCGTAAATGATATTTATTTTAGGGTAAATTTAATAATTAATAAATTCACATAACAAAACTGATACCATTTATATTTCTACTGAACTAATAAATGCGAACAAGTGTAAGCCAGGAGTGAATGAATGACAATTATCCTGTTAGTTTCCGTTGAGCCACCGTGAACCAGGCGGTGCCAGATCAATTCAACTTGTTTACTGTGATCATTTTGCGTATTGCTCTTATCGTCTTATTGTCGTAAAACATTACAAGTTAATAAGGATTAAAAAAAACGGGAACTACATATCTTTGGGAACATCAGTTATCTTTACACATTTTATAAAATCTTTTCGGTTGTAAGAATTGGTTTATATGAAAATATTGATGAAAACGTTATATTCATGAAATTTTTCCGGTTACGAGAGCAATCCGGTTATGAGGACTCTCCATATTGGGGAATTTCACTGTATATAAAATGTATAAAAAAACAATTAACAGAAAACCATGATTCAATTTTATATGTTAAGGTTGTGTCGATACGGAGCGTGCTTCCTCTTAGGAAAGAAGGGTTTGTATTTATAATGTCAAAAAAAGTGGTTTTTGTTTTCCTCATGTGTGATTTACAATCTATTTGTATTCAGTTATCACTTTTATCAACTTTATACTGAAAATTTCCGAAGAATGTATTTATAAACAAGCGTATAATAAACAGCTTAACTCATTTTATTAGACCAACAGCCAGAAAAGCATTCTCGTGACAGACTGCTGCCTCCCAACGTTTTACACAGACTTGGAAACGAAGTCAAATACCATCTTTTTCGTATGCGTGCCATCTTAAATATTGTATATCGGAGAAAGTACGGTTCGCTATTTGTTGACGAATCGAGTTAATACTGCAAGTCAACTATCGATTGAATCATACATTAAGTATCAGAGAGCAATACCATTAAATTAATGTTAAAGCTCCTATGAGTTTCTTAAGACCGAATTGACAAATCTAGTCGAAACTCTTGTGTACGTGTGATCGCTTTTCCCTTTCTTTCAGATAAGGCTAATGAGATTTAACTCGTGAGAGTGTTAGTTTCCATGCTAATTCATACAAAAATTGAATTATATAAATGAAGCATAGTATGCATATTTCTTGGCACTATGAGAAAGTTGGTATTGAAGATGGGCGGATCGGACAATCGCTACGTCCATAAAATGCTTCCTCATACATCTCAAATCGATAATAACCACGCACACCTCCTGTATGACAGTTGTGTATAAAATTACCAAAAGTGAGAAAAATCATTAAATAAATACGTCAGATGCTTAATGTCTTCATAGGACAATTTGGTGAAAAAGCACAATGAGCAATCAAATGTTGTGCTTAACATTATCCTGACATTCTAATGTTAAATTGTGAAAATGGAAGAAATTGGCTACGATTGACTTTTTACCGAAAATGTCGCTAAATCTTTGAGATACATTATTTAAATTCGAACAGAATCTCTTCCGATGAACTCAAGGCAAAAGTGTCCTTTCTTGCCAGTTATGACCGATGATGAAGTAGCTTGATGCTTTTAACTGTGAGGCTAAGCAGTGGTTGAATAGTATTGCTATCGTAGCTCACATCTTTGCAAGCATCTGCCGCTTCTGTCCGCCCAATTTGTTACCTTTGTTACCACATTGAGGCACCCTTGCCTTAGTTCGTAGCCGGTATTTCGAAATTTTCCTTTTACCTTAAGACCATTGAAGAAACCCAACACGATGGAGAGCGACCTCCACCAACTTGCACAACTCGGTTCTGGATACTATAGCAGGTTAAACTCCTCCTTATTGAGAATCGACGACGACATACCAAATATATATATATTCAGCGTGAAATGGTCCCTTATGACTCTAACCACCTCTTTGCGTGCCTAGCGAACCCCACTCATCTAACATCCTTCTCCCTATGGTCCGACAGCACCGAAACAGCACGTCTCCTGGTCCTAACGTTAGATGGATTCGATGATAATCAATCTGAACCTTACCACCCATACGGGTCAACAAATTCACCACGATTGGCCTTTCGAAATGCCCTTGCGCTACCCCACTCCGAAAACAGTATTTGTTTATTTATTATTGTATTTGTTTATATAATATTAACCGGTCTTTTTTTATTTTATCTTTAACAATATGAAGCCACTTGCTTTACATACTTATGTACCATATAAGCGTTAATACCCCACGATAGCACGAAAATATAATGGATATTTGGAACAATGACGCTCAGTTAAGGACAAAAATTTGCACTTGCATTGCTAGCATGCTACAACGAATAGAGGTACTTCCGAAATCTAAAGGCGGACAGAGGAAATACCAGATAAACCAACAATATTTTTTATTAAGTGTTGTGCAAAATGTTCCAACTAAAAAAATGATATCTCATTTATTATACTAACCTTATTCGTTTTTTTATATGAATAATCCAAGTCGTAATTTTTAAATTCGCCTATCGATGAGTAAGCACTGTATATACATATGATAAATAGAAGCTTAATAGAAATAGAGACAACCAATCTATTCGTTCTCAACGTTATAATGAATTCATATTTATTTTACAAAAAATTACATACGTATATAAACGCAAAATTATTAAAAAATATTGAAACTACTATTTTATTGTAACTACATATATGTATACATACATACATTCGTAGTTACCAGTACCCCGCCAAACTTTTAGAAACTGTATACAGATATTTGACCGACTCTTCAAATTATAATGGTTATTATAATTTTTTAATACAGTTTATTCAAAAGCATAGATCATATAAATAAAAAATAAATGAAGTTTTATTTCTAATAGTGTATTCTCAAGTGTATAAAACATTTTTTTGTCTTGTGGCCTTGGTAAGTTGCTTCCATGAATGGCTTTGCACAAGAAAATTTTATTTTATTTATTTAAAAAAATAGTGTTTTGTTTTGAAATTTGTTTACTTTTAAATTTCAAATTTTTAATTTTTGGATAAATGTAAGGATTAAATCAATGACAACATACATATCAAGTAAACGTGAAGAAAAATGAAATGTCATAAACTTACTTATTTCATTTTGTTGACTACACTTTGGTTTGGCATTGTTTTGAATAAGCGAAAGTCAGTTTTATTTTCAATTGATAAAAATATTAATAAACTTCTTTTATTTCATTACTACATATTATAACAGCACGTTTCGAAAGACTATAAATCTTGTCTAAGCAACTATACAATACAGTTGCGTGTTCCGATATCGATAGAGAATCGATTCTTTGCATTCGATTTTACGACTAGGTACTACATACCATTACAATATCATAACAAACCGTGTGATAGAAAGTCATACAAATCTATATTTATTACAACTAAGTATTATTATATTTTCAATATAATTATAAAAATGGTGGCTAGCGCCGTGTGAATTTATTTTAAAAAAGTAAATAATGGATCTAATGTCCAGGGTAATTACAGTACGACTAGTTTGATTAAACATCTGCATAAAACACACAATATTGGTTTATTATTTGATCGATTCTTTATAAAATGGTTGCGTTCCTACTGTATTGCTATCAAAATTACCAAATGTCGGGAATATCGCTTACAACCTGTGTTGCAATTGTGAATGAAGTCGTTAGTCAGCTGATATATGTAAATATTTAGTAAACTCTGTATTCTTTTGTCGGCTTATTCACATGGAAAATAATTATATCGAACAATTTTAGAGTACAATATTTATAGTGTTTAATGGATTTTTCAGATTTTAAAGTGCGCGAGGTAAAAAGTATGGTAAATGTATAGTTTAGGTCCCTCAACTAAGGAGTCCTCAAAAATTAATTTTTTTTTATTTCAAATCCGTGAGCGGAAAGTGAATTTTTTCAATAATTTATGTATATATTTGCAAATATATTTAACTCATTTTGCACATATTTTTCAAGTCACTTAGTTTTTTTTTTTGTAGCGGCAAAATTCTGCATAATTCAAATCAATTAGCTGTAATTACCAGTTCAGCGAAAAATAACCCTGGTCTGTCCAAAACCGCGGTGTTTATAATTCAATCGCGTCAAACTCCTTTCTGTACTGGCGGCGAAAAAAATAGAAATGTTGAAAAAATTCACTTTCCGCTCACGGATTTGTAATATTCGCGTCAAAATAAGACACTTTTGAAGCCTCCTTAGTTGGGGGACCTAAACTATACATTTACGAAAAATATATTTATTTGATAGCTAATTTTTAATATCTTTTACAACCGTTTAGTGCCCCCCATCGGCAGTATATATTCCAAACTTCATAACATCCGAAGAGGAGAAACGCATTTTGTCTCAGATCTCGCGAACCCCAAAACCTAAATGGACTCAGCTTCTTAATAGACGCCTCATTAATTATGGAGGAGTACCCCATCCAAATGGAATGCTTGCTGAAGAAATTCCGGAATGGTTACAAGTCTATATGGGAAAAATTAATAATTTAAGTAAGATAATTATGCATAATATATTTTATTTCAATTATACTAATTTTATTTCTCCCTTGTTATGGAGATTTTTTTCAATCTCAAAAAGCTAACCATGTCCTAGTAAATGAATATTTACCCGGTCAAGGGATTATGCCTCACACAGATGGTCCGTTATTTCATCCAATCATATCAACTATCACATGTGGTTCATATACAGTACTTAATTTTTTTGCACGAAAAGTGTCTAAGTCAAATGATAATCAGTCTCATCTACAGAAAAATGACAACGACACTGAACCCCTACAACGGGAATACTTAACACGTGAAATTAACTTCAAAATGCTTTTAGAACCTCGTAGCTTATTAATACTTAAGGATGAATTATATAATAATTATTTGCATGGTATAGATGAAGTCAAACAAGATGTTCTTTGTGATAAAATCTGTAACTATGAGAATTGCGAAAGAGTCCATAAGGTAGGAAGTATTTTAAAACGCGGAATCCGTATTTCATTAACGATACGTCATGTACCAAAAACCACAACAATGAAATTAAAGTTTTGTTAAAGTACTTCTATCATATTATATACATTCTCTACTTTATCTATAGCCCCTTCCATTAAGACCCATTCGTATACAACTTTTCTCGCTTTACGTAACAGTTCATACTGATATAACATCTTTCCAACTGAAAATTCGCATGTATATACATAATAAGCCAAAAATATATGCAACACTTTTATTATAATCAAGTACAGAAGAGTTTTATTTCAAGTTATACCAAACATTTTATTTTGTGTCTTCCCATCGTAGTTGAAATTCATGTTCGAATATATTTCGGTCATACAGTTTAACTGTACTAATGTGAGCTGATATATCCAAACGTAATTCACTCACCGCCAAGTGAAAATTTTGTCTTAGCACGCGTTGCTTATCGACCAGCAGCCGGGCTAGAGGTCTACAAAACAGGCTCAATATTTTTTTCAGATGATATTCAACACTAGCACAACGACCAATACAAATCCACAAATCTTCTGGCTTTTGTATATTTCCTGGAAAACGTTTACATAGGTCAAACGGAGCTTTTCCATCAGTTAAAAGAACTTTGACCTCGGAAACAATTTTGTTATTTTCCCTGGGGTCGCTAAGACTCAACGTTTGGTATTCATATTTGTCACAAAAATATATTATATCACTAATGCTGCACCAAGGTTCTGCTGTCAAATCACTGTGTCTTCTGGTCCAGTTAATATATTTGCCTTTATAAGTGGTTAAGGGACTAAAGCGACTCTCCAAACATGTACTAAGAGGTGACAAAATCTCAAAATCATTCTTAGTTTCGTTGGTTTCAAAACAAGATGTTAGCGGATATTGATTTTCAGTTACGTTGTGCTTCGGTGAGTCAGATAATGTAACAAGCTGGTTACCTATAGTTGAATTGGCTTTTAAGGTTGTCTCTTTAAAAATATCTTTGTTTTGTGTAAATATTTTTTTACACTCATCACCCTCTTTATTTTCACGGACTTGTTTCAAAAAGTGACGAACTCTCCAAGACATTTTATTCGTACTAATTTTCTTCTATTTGTTTGTTATTTATTTTTTTACTAAACATATGTATGTATGTATATGCATACCATTAAAACTTAATCAATCAAAACGTAAAAGTTCATATAGGTATAACTGTGAAATCACTCCGATATGTTTTTTAACTTTAATTTTAAATAAATTGTTGTGTATGTTGTAACACTTCTAAATTATGTTTGTCGGATTTTCTTCAATGTAGCTTATTTTATCCTTTCGGTTGTATCGTCTTTATTTGATAATAAATTAATCAATATACAGATGTATTATGTACATGCTTAAAAATATACATAAATAGGTACAATGTGGTGCTTCTTTGCAAAATCAGGAGAAAATTTAAAATAGTTCACAAAGTTGGATACAAATTAAGTATATGTATCGACTGCCTATTACTTGTCTAACCTAATTTGAACATATTTTATTTCTATTTAAAATATGTTAAATTATGACCAAAATATGTTCACAATGCTGTATACTAAACTAAACTAAATTAATCTAAAAGTTTCGCATTTTTATTGACACACTGTATGTTGCCCAACTAATTTAAAATGAATATGTATATGTGCATATTGCACTTAAATTGCGAGATAGGTCAGACACCACCGATTTATATTTAGAGTCTTAAATTTAATTCTAAAAGGTAAGGAACGACTATTTTCAGGAGGAACTGAATATTAGGCATGCTCTGTCGTGAAATACTAAGAAAGTGAAATAATATACCAAGACGGCCACTTATACTTATTTTACGATACACATTATTTTCGTAAATAGTAATGCAAAAGGAATGAATTTATGTAACCGTGCCGTGTTTCTATTAGATTTTCAGAACATTCGGCCGAAAATCAAATTTGCGCGCTTAGGACAAACTAAAAACCGTAAAATAATTGTAAGTATCCCTTATTGAGGAAAGTATTTCAGGTCGGTTGGTTTATATAGTAGATAATAAATGTAAAAGGGTGTGAGTTTGCTCCGCCATATTGCGCCCAGTTCCGGTAAAAAGGACTAATTCACTAAAGACGAATTCTTAAGGAACAGTTCTTGAAGGCACATATTACGATTCCAAGTCCTGTTTTGTGCTTATGCCGTTTGACTTCGCCATAACCCGAAACATGGTAGTCTCCTCCATTAAATTATAATTTCTAAGGAAATTTGGTGAGTGAATTTTATAGATTTCAAAATTTGAATACCTTAAAACCCGGAATACTTTGTTGTCTCTCCCTATTCATTCGTTTAAAGTAACGGGGTGCGAAATACATTATGGGATCGAAGCGAGCACGGAACGAGGAGGAATGTCACGCAGAATTACAAGTGAAAAGAAGACAAGGGGTTCAAAATAGTTTAGGTGCTGCTGGCTGACAGGAAGCGATCATACAGGTCAAAGCTCATGTATATACACACTAATAAAATTATAAAAATCAAATTATCTTATTATAAAAATCAAATGAATTAATTGTTGAATTGTGTTCAAATACTATGAAAATTACTATTTGTGACTTATGCGAAAAATAGCGATTCGTTTGAGCCATTTTTATACTAGCACTTTTAAGGAAAGCGCCGGTGAATTCACATTTTTCGAATTTCGGAATAATAATTATTAAGAAGATATCTACGTATATTAAATAAAATAATCAACAAATTTATCCCCAATCATATAGCAATATTAATTTTATTATAATTCATAGTTTTTTTTTGTAATGAAATTTAGTTATAGTGTACACAGGTGTAGGTATAAACACCTAAAACAATTTTAAAACTACAGTATGCAACATTGCTTAAGGCTTGTCACCCAACAATGGTTTCCTTTAAAACATATGTATATACATACATATAGTACATACAATTATATTAAAATAATATGAAACTCTGTTTGAAAGCCTACTGAATAATAAAAAAGTGTGCATACTCTATTGCCTTATATATATTTTGCGTATGTGAATTATCTTGTGAAATGCGTATCGTTTCATCGAAAATTAATTCCCAATTAAGCTGTAGATATGTTTTAAATGGTAAATTTTGTTGTTTTAGGAAGTTTTGCGGTTACAGCAACAAATCACACTATTAAATTGCTATCTTATTTTTAAGTACTTATATGATGGCACGTTTTAAGTACAACAATTTAGATTAATTTTATAGTTGTGTACTGCAGGGTAGTGTACAAAAAATTACTTTCTTATCTACATATGTATGCAAGACCATTTATACAATCGATCAAATTTATTAAAGCGTAAATATTTTATAACTGGTTTCTGAAATAATTATTGAGTTCTGTACAATCAGCTTCATATGTAAACTTTGGTATATTTGTTTTTCATGATATATAAAAATCTTGTTTTTTATCATTTTATTCTTTTTACTAATAACACTTTCATAAAGACGAGTATCTCATAAGGAAATCATTGAATACGGAGAATTAAATCAAGATACCGCTTAAATTAGTTGTGTGAATACGTATTGTATAAAGTTAAGTTTTAGTTAGTCGTGTTTACTTTTAAATAATAAATATAAAGCTAGTCATGTACACATGTATGTAAAAAATGCATCACATAGAAAACGGTGTTTTAACTTTAAATCGCACTTGCATAGGCACACCTCAAATCAAGAACTTCCTAAACGCAATATGACGGTGGAACTTCAAAAACAATATTACCCGCTATATGTCGGAAATTTGGATTATCAACTCCTAGTTCACCTTTTACTGTAATAGCTCGTGATTTTCCACCTAAGCGGCAAGCAATTGTAGGGCTAACATCCACACGCAGTTCTCGCTGACAAATACTAATAGGGTTTTAAAAAATATCAAGAATGTACTTAGCAACAATGTTTATACAAAAACTTACTCAATATATTTTTTACATATTACTCCCACAAGCTCACCAATATGATCCTCTTTTAACTGAGAGATTTCACTTTTCAGAGCAAAAACTAAATCGTTGTTGTCGGAAGAATGGAAAACAATAAGTTGGTCGCGTCCAGGGCTAATACTGATGGATGTTAACTAGAAAATAGAATATAATATAATAAATAATATGTATCAAAAAGAGATAATTAAATGAAAAGGGGTTTTTATTAATAAACAACTATTTAACCAATTTCTAACAAATATTTTCAGAATAAGTAAATTTTAATTTATTTACTTCCTCAAAAATTGTTTTACACATATCTCTATAATATTAATAAGCTTTGATATTAACTTACATCTTTGATAGATAAAGAATGATTCATATTTTTAAATTTATGTTTAGCACCATCCAGTTTATAGATCGCCGAATCTGTTACAATAAAGGCACGATCAGCAGTTTTATTGTGTTTGTTGTATTTTTTAACGAATGAGGAAAATAGTATATTATTAAAAGCTGCACTGTTCTTTAAGTTTCTAACGTTGGTGCTATAAGCTTGATAACCTGTGTTATCCTGCGAGTTTGCTAAATAATCACCAATCCATTTGCGTTGTTGTCCCCAATGTAATCGACGACCTTTTATAGCAGCTGCAGCGATTATTTGTAATTGCAATTGCGGCCATTCACCTCGTGGATATTTACGAAGGATCATAAAAGCTCTCCAATAGTTAAAAATGCGTCGGAGTTGAGGCTCTGCATTTCGTCCTGCTAATGGAGGTTGTGGCCATTGGACACTTCGACCATAGTCTCTAATATTTTTGGCATTACGAAAACGTTGAGATAGGTCTTGTACGTAAAATCGTAATTTGTATGTCTTATATGCACGCATAATAGTAAGTGCAGCCTTAATTTTCTTATATTTTTGACGTGCAATCCATCCGCGCACCTGCTTTTGTAACAAAGTAACAATATGAGGAATCATTTCATTTCGCTGCTGCTCAAGAGAAAATAATGTTTTAGGTGAGCGTATGAAGACTTTTGTATGTCCATATTTTACGTCGTTTCCGAAACCTTTTTCCTCAAGCAAAACTCGCACGCCATCACGGTCGGTACCGGCGCGGAAATTCGGCCATGTATACTGAGAAATCATTTTATAACGCAATAAGAACTTATCGTACCGTTGACGATGCACAAAACCAGCTCGCCGGACTCGCACATTCTCTAGTAATCCTAGGTAGCGAACTTGATGTTGTACACGTTCGTCGTCGAACACGGTGGGACTCTTTATGTCATTAGGTTTAATACAACGAACGTAGAAGGGTTCTTTTTTCAAAAGAGTATTTACAAGATCTATTATGGAGCGTTGGAAAAGTGTCCCAGCTGTAAGGGGTCGTTTCGTTGTTTTTTTTATATCCTGGGCGCCTTCAGGCCACATATCGCTAAGGTTAACATTTTTGGAGTGATGCAATAGTCGCTTGAAATCCTGATACAATGTATCTCTGTTCTTTTCGATGAATCCATTGATATTATAAATAACATCACCCGCATAGTGTGTTATTCGAAAATCTTCGCGATGTTTGAGTTCCTTGTCCGTTGGCTTCAATTGTCGACTGCTGAAATGAGGATGGCTGCTAAGATTTTTATCCATTGCACCTAACAGTGTTTCGTCGTTGATTTTACCCACTGAGAGACAAGCCTCATCCATTATAGCTATCATACCTTTATGTGGTTTTTCAATGAGATCGCATATTATCTGAGTTAAAAGATATATTTGATATAATAATATTATAATAATTTGTCTTTAGAAGAGAAATACTGAATTGGCCAATACTTAATAATATCACTTATAGCTTATATTTTGATGCGGAAAACTGAAAATTATTTTATAGTCACTGTAGGTTATTATACATAGTATAGAAGTCTTAATAAACGTAAAAGGAAAGGAACATCGTAATGCAATTTTCAATTGCAGATTTAATAATAATGGTTAAATAAATAGCCTACCATGTTCTCCTAATTATCCCTTTGTAATGGTTGGTCAAATGAAAAATATCTTTGATAACGATATATACATACATATGTAAATATATATTTATTATGGTATTACTCTGTAAAAATAACGATGCATGTATATTTGAATTTCTAATCGTTACGAATGGATTGAATGTGTGAATATCACCCAGAGGGTCGTTGAGACAAAATCTGAAATTCAAGGGAAAAATTTCTGATATGAAAAAGCTTCTCAACCCTTATAAGGCGGCATAAAACTTGATCTTTTCATGGTTCTCAATTGGATCGGCTAATCGTCAAGCAAGGGTGAATTTGTGAACTAAACACATAGGTATAATGTTACATTTATATATAGGTATTTATATTCTTATGAATATATAACTGAGGTAATAAAATCACTATCACTTAATTATCTTACCTTGTTATTAAAGTATTCAATATTCGTCCATTCTACACCTTCTCTTTGGTATTCTTCCTGCTCCTGTTTAAGTACCAGTTCTGTTGAATACACAAATTTTATTAAAAGCAGATGAAATTGTAAGTAAATGATCTGAATTCTTTAAACCAACCTATAAACAATTGTTGCAATTTTTCATTGCAATAATTTATACAAAACTGCTCAAAACTATTGTTGTCAAAAATTTCGAATCCGTAAATGTCTAAAACGCCAATAACTGAATTGAAACGTGCTTGAGTTTTCGAACCACGAAATAGGATAGCCCGATTTATACGGGAAATAATCCAGGAAAATAAACGGTCGTATATTGCTTTAGCCAAAGCATCTTTTCCATATTCAGCTTGCGTGGCATCATGTTCCTTTTGCATAACATTACCACCAGCAGCAATAATTCGTGTTGTCAACGAATTGGAAAGCTCATTTTCTGTTACTTGCAATAATTTGGACGCAAATTGTAAATGCGATTTGTTACTTATAACAAGATCATCTTCGATTGCTGGAAATAAACACATGGTCAAGTATGTTAACATGTTTAAAAATTTTATTTAAAAAATTTCACACCAGTTCATACATTGAAACTCAATATTTCCCAAATGTAGAATAGCTGCCAAAATCTGCCATATAGTTTGCAGTTCTTCAGTAGTAAATCCCAGTGTTTTAAAAGCATTGTTTGTGCCTTTATAATCTACTTTTTCAGAAAGTACGTCCATACTACCTTGATTCATATAATGATATCTGCTGGGATCTTTTGATAAATTATATAGTTGCAATTCACTATCGCTAGCACCACGCAAGAGCTGTGGAGAAGCAATAAATTAATTACTCGATTCATTCAACTTACAGAATTGTTACCTGATAGAAGCTATGAAAATTGCGTTCTCCCGGTTGTTGTTGCACCACCCGAGACTTTTCTAGCAAATAATTAGTGATTATGCCCCCAACCGGGTCTCCTTTATAGTCAAATTCAATATCCATATATTTTCCAAATCGGCTGGAATTATCATTCCGATTTGTTTTTGCATTTCCAAATGTTTCAAGGATTGAATTACTTTGCAATAGCACATTTTTCACTCTACAAATTAATTTATTAGTATTAATATTATTACAGAATATATTAGTACAGAATATTATTAAGAAAACATAATATTAGCGGACGATTTATCAATGAATAAAAAGTACTTGCCTTTCAATTTCATTTTGTCCATGTATGTTAGTAACGGCTGCAATATATTTCATAATAATTTTTGACGCTTCAGTTTTACCCGCACCAGATTCTCCGGATATAAGGATACATGTATCTTGATGCCGTTGCTTTAAAATCCTGTATGCAGCGTCAGCGATAGCATAAAGGTGAGGGGGATTCTCGAACAACTCCCGACCTTTATATATATTTATTACATCAGATCCATAAGTGTTCATTTGCCGATATGGGTTCATGGATACACAAACTTCACCTATGTAGGTATATATATGACCATTTTGAAACCTATAACGGCAAACAATTTATTTTATGAAAGGTATTGTTGCTATTTTAAATAAATATTATAGTACAATAACTGCAAAGAAGAACGGGTATTATTGGAAACATACAAGAAAAACTAAAAAAATTGTGTTATTCGACATTGGAGATTTAACCGAATGTTCCAGCCAGCTAGCGGCTATGACGCTAATTGATTTTAGGTATCGCAGAGTGGATGCGAGATTCAGTGCTGAATTCCACACATAATATTACTATTCTACTCGTACATTTATTGCTTTTTAATGTGGAAATTTTTTGTGCTTATGCAAGCGAAAAGAGAAGACATGGACTCTTCAAATAAAAAATACAAGTACATTGTGATTCCAGCTCTGTGCTAAATATTAAAAAAATGTGGAAATCATCGATAAATACAAAAAGGGATGAACTTAGCTGAATTAATGAATAAATCTCACCATTTGTATAAAGATTTAAGGCGTTTTTCGAAAAAGTTTTTTGAATATATAATATATGCGCTATCTCAGCGCGGACCGGCTCCGAAAAACGCTTCAAAACTGTTTACTCGCATTGATCAACTTTACGCTCGGCTTCAGTCAGCTTCCACTCTGCGCTGCCTGTGCGATTTCGTATGAAAATTATCGCACACAGTTTTGACGCTTATTTCTCGCATTCGTCAGTTTTGAGCTCTGCTCGGCTTTCAGCGTCCATCTTGCAGGCACCCATACATATTTTGTTCTTTTAAATAATTTTCAAGCCCCTTCTTTTTGGCAAAATTCTATTTTACTATTCAACATAGTTTCAATCGAAGCTGATTTACTGTTTATAGCGACATTCCAAACTTTTTTTCTTAGATTTGTAACACGGAGCATTATCTTGTCGAAACGGAACTTTTTTCTACTTCAAATGGAACGGGATTTGCTCGATTTTAACCAGGTTTCAATAACCTTTGCTGAATGTTTTTCACTTTTTAATATAGTCATGACAGTCCAAATATTCATAAAAGATATACTTTCAGATATCTTTTACTTAGTAAGAACAAATACAAATATACGTTTTTTTATGGCCCTTTGAAATATTGTTACATGGATAACGCTCGTAGTGTATATTATATATTTGTTCTCAAATTCGGTTCGTAGTTTAATGCATTTTTCCGAAACAATAGTAATTTTACGAGTTCAATATGAATCCACAAGTTATAAGCGAAAGTGTAGAGAACCCTATGTCTGTGCGTGTTTATCCACAAATGTGTGATTTAGACTTTTATTTATATAAGTATAACCTGCATTCTTAAAAACAAAACTATTTTATAGACATATTCAATAAATGGTATACATATATCAAAAACCATCTTAGAATTTAATTTAACTAGTATCAAAACAATTAAACATTGATGATGAATAAGCTGTGCAATAAAACTACAACACTTGTAAGAACCACTCCTAAGCATTTTCTTTATCATTCTCTTTCTTCATTTCATTCTCTCATTAAGTAATATATAATATCAACGTGGTGACGTAATTTGCAATTTGTGAGTAATCAAACGCAAATAGTAAAAAATCTACACATTACTGGAACTAAAGTCATCATATGCTAAGTTCTAAGTGCGTTCTAAGTGCTAAAATAAAACAATGTTAAGTATAAAGGGAGTATTTATAGATATATTTTAACGAACAAATGTAAATACACAAAGTTTGTATTTTCTATTCATATTAACGTTTATAATCAAAAATCAGAATTTTAAAAACTTATAATCATTTTCAAAATAAAAGATTTGAGTTTAAATTCAAAATTGTAGAGGTAATACCTCTATCAGTGCCTAAGTATGTACTATTATGCTTTGCACGCACTAATTGACTCTATATGGGACGATTTGTATACAAATTACGATTGAAATTTTATTTATGGTAGCCTTGATCACCATGTTTCACCACTCTTGGTTTTAGTTACGCCGTTGATTATACCTGTAGTAAATCCACTGACATTATTATATATCAAAACGAAAATGAAGAACGGGGTTTACAAAATACTGTTATGTTTTGTACAGGTAGTACAAGTATTAAGGTTATGAAGTCCACACAAACTAAAAGCTCGTGATTATTTCAGAAATAAACATAACAAAAGCGGTTACACTATATATGAAAAAGTAGCTAAAGTACAATAAGACATTTGATGTTATACGTAGATCATTTGACCTAAATGTAACAACTATCTTAAGGTTTTGACTAAAAATACTATAAAAATTTCAATATGAATCAAATCGTGTTTAGAGCGACAAAACTACTCATGCTTTGATGAAAAAAAACACAAGTTCATCTGGAAACCTCATATCTCGTTTAAATTTAAATCATACATGTTACCTTTTGGAGTAAATTAATTTAATTTTTTGGTTAAATGAAAACAAATAAAAATTCCCAAAGGAAATAAGTCATGTTCTTTGACAGCTAATGCTTATAATTTTTTTGCGAATTGAAAATTATGACGTTGATCTGTCAGACGACACGATTTCTTTTTGAATTCTGAACTACGATCTAAAATTTCATACACCGCCGTTTTTTCAATATAGGGTTAAGCGCCTAACCCGAACTTTATCGGCAACTTGTTGAAAGGTGGTCTGGTTAGCAACCATCTGTCAGTAAAATTCCGGTTAACTTTACCTAAGGAAGGCGTCTTGGTTAGTTTCTAACCAGAACATGAAATGACAACTGTCAGCTCTAAGTTTTCTATAAGAAAAATCAGCTGCACAGACGCCGTTTACAGGGAGACTCGTTTGTCGCTGTATATTATGCATATTACATACAAAAAAGGGGTAACAACATTGAATTTTCCGAATATAATGTAAATATTGCTTTGAAACCGAGCGCTGTTGCAACCATAAAAGGAATTTCAAAATGAAAAGGAATGCCGAATTGTGTAACAGCGAACTGTTACGGAAAAGAACTCAAAACGTGTCACCCGAGCATAAGCGGCACGGTCTCATCGTCTTTCCTCGTCGTCCCCTCGGATACGAAAACCGGTTTGGGCGGCAAAGCTCCTCGTCTGAACATGCATGATCACAATGCAAGTTTTGGGAACTGTATATGTAGGTAAGGTAACTACAACTTGGTGAAAACGGTTCTGTCAGCAAAGCTATCATGCAGTTAAGCTACCAGCGGTTAAGGATAATATTTACCGGGTATTGAGAAAACGGCCTTAATAAAGGTATTTCAAATAGTACAATTTGAACTTGGAGAAATGGGTTTGCTTTTCATTGAAACAGTCGCTCAGTTGTGTAAAATCGACGTACTATACATATCGGAAAACCCATTTCTTACTTTTTGGTGACATTAATCAGCAAGATTACCGTTTTCGTTAAACAGAAACTTCATTCGAATGCCATGAGACGTATTTACAATACATGGCCAAATTACTGTTTAGACTATTTGAAAAGTTTCGTGTCCATACAAAATAACTTATACGATTAATTATTTAGCTCACATGTACCTAATAATCCAACGATTCTACATGTGATTTACAATTGACTTTTAATGTATATGACAGAACGCTATGTGCGATTAGATAATTTAAAAGTGTATATGATAATATTTGTTATCGTTTGATTTCTTATGTTAGAACATTATATACATATGTACATACATGTGTATGGGTGTATTGGGTGTATGCATTAATTCCTGCGGTTTTTTTCGAAAATTAAGACTTTATTTTGAAAAAATTGTTATACATTTAATGTTCAAAGTATTGCCCATCGGAAGCTACGATGTTTGCCCATCTTTCTGGCAGTTTGTAGATCCCATCCCAAAAAGAGAACCGGCTTGGATGTCAAGAAAGAATCGAGCCAATTTCTGATACCCTGTTCTGAAGTGAAGCGTATTTCGGTGAGGGCATTCTGCATTGTTCTGAACAGGTGGTAATCGGAAGGTGCTATGTCGGGGCTATAAGGCGGGTGAGGTAGAACTTCCCACCCACAGTTTTCCAAATAGTTTTTAACTGGCCTTGCAACATGTGGCCGAGCGTTGTCATGATGAAAAATTATTAATTCGTGTCTGGTCGCATATTTTGGTCGTTTTTCCGCGATGACCTTTTTCAAACGAATCAATTGTTTTCGGAAGAGGTCCCCATTGATCGTCTGACCCGATTTCAATGTGGTCCCACCAAATACATAGCATAACCTTGGCACCATGGATATTCGGCTTTGCCGTGGATGTCGATGGTTGGCCGGGCTTCACATACGATCTCTTGCACTTTGGGTTATCATAATGAATCCATTTTTCATCGCCAGTGACAATCCGATGCAAAAATTACTTCTTTTGGTGGCGTTGAAGCAACATTTCCGACATGCAGAATCGACGTTCGACGTCTCTTGGCTTTAATTCATAAGGCACCCAATTTCCAAGCTTCTGGATGAATCCTAATGATTTTAATCGTCTGAAAACGGTTGTTGGATCAACTCCTAATAGTCTTGAAAGTTCTTCTTGCGTCTGGCATGCATCTGCGTCGAGCAATGTCTCCAATTCTTCGTCTTGAAATTTTGGCTGTCCGGGTCGTTCTCTGTCGTCTAAGTCGAAATTGCCACTTTTAAACCGTGCAAACCACTTTTGGCACGTTCGTTCGGCTAAAGCATGGTCACCATAAACGTCCAGTAAAATACGATGGCTTTCGGTAGCACTTTTCATCATGTTAAAGTAATGAAGAAGAACTCCCCTGGTACAAATTTTGACATTTTCAAATGAATGAAACAAATTGTTGTTCACGCATAAACAAATGACATCTACTGAAAACGACGCGAAATGACAGTACCTTTGAAATGAATATAGCCACAGATGAATACGACGCGAAATAATACTAGTAGAGCCCTCTCTCAGAAAACCGCACGAATTAATGCATACATGCATACTTATTTATATAAATTTTAATTTAAAAAAAATTCGGTAGTGCTAAGGTTTGGAGCAACCGAACATATAGACAATCTCTCAAACTGTATAATTGCGTTCAATTATGTACGAAATAAAGTCATAACGACGAAGGAAAATCTGTAATTTCGTTGTATTTTTGATAAAAAAGCTATACATTACTTTGTACAGGTTTTTACAATTTTTTAAACTAATATTAATATTTTGTTTTTATTAATTAATTGAAAAAAAATTCTCACAAGAGATGCAAATGAAATCTACCAAGGCAGCGTATTTGTTTCGTGTAGCATTAAATTAATGTATATGTCCAAAAATACATGTTTTAAAAGACTTATACAAAAATATATCCAAATTGTAAACATAAGTATTTTATGGATATCGAATTTGAGGGGATGCAAAGTATTTTGTTCACGACTGAAAAAATATAAAAAGTTTTACTGTTTCATACATATAAGAAGGCAAAAAAAATTGGAAGCTACTTAATGCACTATTATATATACACACATAGGTAAATATAGACTCGTAAAAGGTAGGCTAAAAAGTTCAAGTAATTTTACAGATAATAATATTTTTCGGGCAACTTCGATTTAATTATTCAACTAAATTTAATGCTTCTGGCGTATTTACTTAGTCAGTTATCGCATTTTTAGTAGTTTTCTACTTAATCGTTATATCGGAGTGTCCATAGTTACAACTGATTTCACCCATTTTCACACAGGATAAGGGGTAACGAAGGACTTAGTCCTCAGCAAGTTTGGTTGATATAGCTTTGGAGGTTTGTGAGATATGTTTTGTCATGGATTTCATGTCATCTCGTGATCCTGATCATTTATATATTTATATCTATCTCGATTAGTTTAAGGTGATACAAACAAACGTTAGTTGAACAATACAATTATACTCTGTAGCAACATGTTGCGAGAGTATAAAAAGTAGCTTGCATTATTTCAGCAAATGGGATGCAGTGAATTGAGAAATGAAATAATATTGTTTATATTATTGAAGAGGCAAATGAACTATGAAGTAGCTTTCATTGTAATTCCATGCTTAATATCTTTGATGTAGAAAAATTGTATTTGCTTAAATTAATGTTTTAGCTGAATACTATATATCTTAGTGTAAAGCTAAGAGTGATTAGTTATGACGAAAGGATGATTTTTAATATATCCATTTGGACTTCTTCAAAAATAACCAATATTTGTTAAATTTGGGTAATGACTTTGATATATACAACATTTTTTTTTTTTGTCAATAAAAAAAACTACGATAAAACGAAGCAGGAGCAGTAACGATTGCAGTATAACTGACTCTCTTACCGCGAGTCTAATTCGTCAAGGTTTAAAAAATACAACTGATCTGAGGTGTGCCCCTTAACCTAGCGTGAAATTTTGAAAATAAGATTGATTTTTTTTTAATTTTTAATTGTTTATACCTTTAAAAATAATATCTAAAATAGTTTTTGAGTTACAGCCATTTAAAGGGTAGCCGCGAAGTTCAATCTGACTAACTACTTTATTTTTAAACGCGTTTTTCTCCAAACCTAATTTCATCGAATTTGCTGCAGTGATAACTCGAAGACAATTTTTGATTTTTTTTATCGTAGGTCATTGTTTGATGATATCTTCTAGTTTAATTATTAATTTTTAGTTCACTGTGTATTCCTGAATCATATATACACTATAGAAACCCTGAAAATTTAAAGACAATCGACACAGTATTTTTTTTCTTCAAATTCCCAAAAATCGACGTTTTTTTAGGCTGTTGCACTAGGTGTGCCCCTTAAAAAATCATGATCCAAACAGGTTGCTACAGAGTATTATAATTTTGTTGACTGTTGTTAAAACTAACCGATGTAGATATAGTTATATATACATAAATCATGAGGACGAACTCGACTTTAGTTATATTTCGGGTGAATATCTGGCCGTCCGTTCAGGCGATAATTTGATACACGGGTTCGTTGGCACTTAAGAGATATTGGTATGTCAATGTCGAATTGTTTTACCACATTTGTTAGTATATAGTTTTGTCAACACCTGACAAAATTTTGCAGCATTTGAGCCAAATAAATTGCGAGAATATAAAATTTTCAGTTAACCCCGAACTTAACTCTTCCTTTTCCTTTTTTCGATTACGTTTTAATGAAAAAGGTGAATATAACAAAACATCTTATACATATAAATTTCTTGCCTTTACATAACATATGTATATAAATAATTATCATTAGCATTCATTTATGTAATTACCTTCTTTTTAGGTTGTCCATAAATTTATCCATTGTTATTTGGTCAAGGAGCACGAAATCGCTGACTCCAACTTCTCGATGTTGTAATGCCATTTCCGAAATATTTTCTCGTGACAAATATTATATTATTAAATACACAAGGTGTATTTTCAAAGCAGACAAATTTTTATCTTATTTAATACGTAAATTAGTAATTCTAACTGAAAAAATAAACAAAATTATTAAATCGGCGAGAATTTTAAAAACGGATACTGAAATTACATAAGATCTCAAAGCTATCCCAACAAAAATGATTCAGTAAGTAAATATATTATTTCCATTTCGTTAACAAGAAAAAACGTTATCTTCAGTTGCACCGATAATACCCTTAACAAATAAAAAAGTTTCCATACAAGAACTTGATTTTGATCGGTCGATTTGTATGGCAGCTATATGATACAGTGGTCTGATTGGAACAATTTGTCTGGATATTGTAGCATTGCTGGGATAATAATTCATGAGGGAATTTCGTGAAGATATCTTGACAAATAAAAAACTTTTCCATACAACAGCTTTATTCTGATCGTTCAGTTTGTCGTCCAATATGGAAAATTTGTTCAGATATTGTGGTAATGTTTTAAACAAAAATCCATGCAAAATTTCGTGAAGATATCTTGTAAAATGAAAAAGTTTTCCATAGAAACACTTGATTTCGACAGTTCAGTGTGCGGTCAGTTGCGACAGCTATATGCTATAATGGTCCGATATCGGCGGTTCTGAAATTTGAACAACGAGTTTGGTTGAAATTTTATGCGATGGCTCCGCGTCCGCAAAGAACTCCTTCATATTATTTTCATATTCCATTAATAAGTTCTACGCGAAAGATATACGGACACCCCTGGTTATTTTTTTGAATTAATGCAAAGATAAGTTATTTGCGAAAGCACTATGGACACCCACTATCACTCATCAATATTTATTTGAATTACGAGGTGCTAAGTTTCCTCTGATAACCACTTTTCATCACTAGCATAAGCACCTTTCTTTGTTTTTCAGTAAAAATATAAAAATATTTGAAGATAATTAATTGATTTTACATAAGTATGAAAATATCAGGGATTAACTTGTCAAGTTATTATTTTTCTTATATGTATACACACTTTCGTACATTTCGCCTCCTTTAATTTTTAAATATTATGAATGAACTATTTATAAGTTTATTGGTATTGGTAACTTGTTTCACTTTTATCAATTAATTTATTTATAAATTGAATCAGTAGCAATGCATAAAATAAATAATTTAACCGAAATGTATTTTCAAAACATTTTTTGGTGGGATACTGATATAGGTACATACTTATATACATATGAATAAAATGTGTCAGGTATTAGATGGCGCATATGCGTACGGACTTGGCTTTGAAACATCTGAAGTGCAATTACGATTCACGAGTATTTTGACGCATAAACATTTGTGTCTATATGTAACCACTTCTAATATTTGAGGTAAAATGTACATATGTATGTATACATTTTTAATTAATTAGTTTCCTTCACCCAATGATGGAAATAACCAGTAATGAATAGGAACATATATTAACTATGACAGACACAAATTACACGAAACCGAGCAAAAAAACTCGAACCGATGGAAAAAGAATATTTTATGACCTTTATTTTGAATAAATTGTTTCACAAAAGTTAAACAACACCACTGAACAATACTGAACAACACACAATCGGAAAACTACAACACACAACTGGTGCAACTGAAAAATAACAAATGAGTCAACTGGTTTAATACGTGTTAAGTGAGTTTTGTCGAAAATGAGTCTCAAATATCCCTCTTAAAACAAAGCCGCTGCATTTTTTTAAATTAGCGCCGTTGTTTAGTTTGTCAAGGTTGTATTGTACTTTTTAATGACATATATATTATACGAAATGAATTTATAAATTGTCATTCAAATGTATAACAATGTTTTGTATTCATTAATATCTTATATTATTTATTTATTTTATTATACATAAGTATATAACGATGGGAAATATACAATATATTCAATGTCGCACCACTGATTATTTCGTTCATGTAGCAAATAGAGAGCGTCACGTGTCTGACATAAGGTGAAAACAAAATATATTAAACAATTACAGGTTTTTATAGTTAGTATTTTCAATTTTTAAAATTTCTAGGACCTTTATAAAGAAAACTGATGTGAATTGAGTATTACATGTAATTTATTTCGTTTCAGGAATAGCAAGTATGCATATGTTTGTCAAAATCTATTTATATACCTTGAAAACTTCGTTATCGTGAGTGCACGTAATGCATTTCGTTAAAATCGAATTGGGTACGAAACTCACTTCCTTGGTTAATCTATAAATGTGTAATACATTGATTTGAGCAACAAATAGTATAAATTTATTATAATAATAACCCTTTCAAGGAGTGCAAGTACTACTGTTTTATATGCGTGTTAATAATTTTAAATACTCAACTAAAAATATCATCTAAAGTTTTAAAAATTATAAAGAATTTTTTATTTATTTGTACTTTATATTATATTTTAGGTGTGCTTACATAATCTTTTTCCATACAATAATGGCATTACCAGAAGGACTTGCAAGTAGCATGAAGAAATTTCAAGTAATACATTTAAATTAACGGGTGACACATTAATGCTTACACAATTACTTATAGGCACATAATGATCTACCGGTCTTTTTAAAAGGAGGTCCAGTAGATAAGGTATTATTTGGTTTGACTGTAGGGCTCTGCGGCTTAGGAATTATTGGTATGTTACAAATGGTTTATACACTGGGCTTTAAAAAGAAATCGGCTTAAATTAATTACGACGCTTTCAAATAAATGGAAGATGTGGAAAAATATTAACAAAATAAATATGAAGAACTAATATTAAATCATTAAACCAGGTTTTTCTTTTTCCGAGGTTAGGTAACGCATTATATACTCTGCTGGAATCAATGAACAACTTGTGAGCGATCTATTGAATTCGAATGAAGCGATAAATTAATAAACATTCGTGTCTATTGTTTTTGATTTTGCTACATAAGTAGGAATAATGGCAAATGCAAATAACATTAACTTGAACTATGTATCTAGTGCACCTGATAAGTTTTGAAAAAATTTAATCAATAAATGTACTGGTGTAGACATGACACAAATAATTAGTCAATTCACCATCGAATTGCAAATCTTCATAATTTGGTTAAGACACCAAATTTTTGCGTCATTTGGACTTTTTTTGGTAATTCTCATTATATTACTAATTACTTGAGTTTTTAAATAGTTTCATAAAGTCAAAACCAGCTGTTTTGCTTTGATTTTATGATAGCAAAATTATGTACATTTAGGCGACTTGACATGATTACTCTTATAATAAATAGAAGAAACAATATGAGAGCTGGATACTAAGCTTTATACATAAATAATGTGGCGATCACGAATGCTAGAACAAATCAGAATTGACGATAACCTGCCAGAACCAACTAGATAGCGAAATCCGTAGTTGCCAGAATGTTCGAGTAGCTACTACGTTTCTTATAATTTTTAACTAACTCTTTCCTCCACAGGCAATAATTAATTGAGAGCTATTATTTGTAAGCTGTTATTGCCATTTGCAATATTATTTGCATTAAAAATATATAAAATTAGTAAACAAAATTTCATTATTCCTGCTCTTTAAGCAGCTAAAGCCATTTGCAATTCCCAATATCGTAGCAATGGATTTTAGCTCGCATTATTATTGAATAATTAATTTAATTAAATGATGGTGCAACAAATCAGAACTATCGATGGCTAATTCCATGTTTCCATCAAATAGATTATCGATATCTGAAGGCGGTACCTAACAGATCCTATCTGCTGACATCGCTAATAAATCGCAATATTATTTTAATTCCAGAATTTAAAAGTAACTTTGAATAATTTGGATGTATTTTTTTGGAAATTCCACCACATTAAATCAGTTTTGATATATATTATATTTTGAGCGAGTGTAGAGATTATGGAGACGAATGATGAGGTTGTAGAAAGACAAAAGCTCGTAACAAACGACATTGACGGAGACGAAGATATTAACAACCATACGACTGTGCCAAAATCAGCTCCTAAATCAGAAAGTATTCTTCCTACGCCGGCAGTGCCCAAAATGATTGTAGGACGAATAACTAAAATAAAAATAAAGTTAAACGTAAAATTTTCTGCAGATGAAAAATATGTCCAGTGGGGATACAACCCGTAGCAGAAATTCAGCCAGTTGTTCCATAGAACGAACATCTGAAAAAGGTCAATTAACCTCAGCTAAGGTAACATATATAAATGAGCGACGTACACGTCCAAATTTACAAATTAGTGCAAGCCTGGGTGGATGCAGCAATGATGAACGACTTGACTTCAAATCACGACAACGTAAATTGCTTAAAGGTAATTTTGTATTTTTTAATTTATTAATACGTTTGCTGCCACTGTTAAACGCCGCATGTTGGTGTCTATAATATGAAGGATCATATTCAATATCTAGTTATAATTTCAGATTATTAACTATTTATTATACCGTTTACATCTTTCGTCTACAACAATACTTTTTACAAAGGACCATTGGTATTATTCCTTCTCACCAAACGGCTTAAGTATTATAATGTTAATAAAAAGTAATATAGTATTTGATTACATATATTGTATGTATGTTTGTTTTCTACAACAAAGGTCTTCCGTTCAATTAATTTACAAGTCTTATTACGAGCTTATAAACGATCACAGTATCCGCAAGTTTTATAACGATTGCAACGTGTATGTCTTGGGGGGGTATACGCAAATCTTATTTATGTATTATTTTATTGATCCTTTTCGGTAGACATTTAGGGAGCATTCAACAAAAAGTCCACTTTTTTGGGGTTCAGTAACGGATTGCATACATTTAAGCTATATGTCATTGTTTTTCCATTTATTTAACATATTCGACTAACAGGGGTTTGGAGAGGTACGCTAATTTATTTTATAATTTTAATACACAAGTATGTCGAGTGTTATTCAAAAAGAAAAAATTTAATTAATAAACTGCTTTCCTTTTACTCACTTAAATTTGATCATCTCCATATATGAAATTTACAAATTTTCGCCCTTTATATCATATTTGTATATAGTATATTCAATTGATCTTTAATTTTCTACTAATGCGTAATGACGTTTTTTAGTGGTTCTAGAAAAAATTAAGAGCTTAAATTGTATAATGATGTCAAATATAATAATAATTTGTGTGTCCGTGTCAAGAACATGTCTTTTAATTTTTCGCTTTCATGGTTCTCCTTGTAAGAAGGTGTTTGAATAACTTCATATTATAAACAAGTGTGAGGTGCATTGAAAATCATATTGTATGATCTTTTCCTAAACTTCGTTGAATGTTCGAGTCTTTGATTACTTATACTCGAATACCATTTAGTTACAGATAATGATTTTGGGCTATTTAAGAATCTTAACAAGTGATGTATTTTCGTATCTCTTTGATATTTATTTTACTAATCCATTTCCTCCCTTTAATTTCTTCAAAATACATTTTTTTTTGGTCGAATGATTATCAGTTATGTGTACTAGAGAGCGTGTTTATTAATGCGAAAATATTTTTTAACCGTTAATGTAAAATAAGGATTTTCTGTGTTTCCCATAAATTTCATGTTAATAAAATAAATTTTTATTGGGATATTTGAAAAATATATTTTTGAATCATAAAAACACGTTTGATTGCATGAAAAATTTAATTAGTAATTAGCTTGGTACCATGATTACTAAATGAAAAAGCTCTGCTCGTTTCAAGTGAATCCAAAATAATTCAGACGTTGTATTTTAGAAAACCCATGAATACGCTTTCGAAACAATTTAATACTTTTTAATATTCACAGTTAGCAATGGTAACGATATTTATGAAGAACCACAATGTTACGATAGAATTGAAACCACATTTTAAAATTATTGAACTTTTATTTTATTTATCATCTATTTGTAAGTATTATTTACTTATACATAATTATATATTTAATCATTTTTTTATTTCATGATTTTATTTTTTTTTTATTTTTTTTTTTTTGTTTTTCATAATCTTTTCGTAAATCCAAATATTGAATCTTTCTACAAATGGTAATTGCCAAACAATATATAAAAGAAAGTAAGGCTGATATATGCAACAGGGATCCTTGTGCCAGCAATATTACAGAAATTTCCAGCGAAGTATATTGCGATAGTATAGATTTTACTATGAAACATGAAATTACTCGGAGACAAAACCATGATAGTTCAGATAATAAAATTAGATTGCACATATTTCGTGAAAAAGTTGGTAGCATCGATCCTTCTACTTCGTTAAACACCACCAATGCGGGCAGTAGCTCAAACGTAAACGAATTCGATCGCCGTCCTATTAAACATCACTCATTTGTCTCAGAAGTTCCGGACGTGAAGCATATGGAACGAGCTCTTTTAGGTCTTCTTGATGATTTTCATTCTGGAAAGCTAAAGGCTTTTGGTAAGTAATCCGCTGAATTCAAAGAAGCTAAAAATCAAGTTCTATATGATTTAGGTTCTGGCTGCACGATGGAACAGATGACTAAAATACGAGAACAACAGGAAAGTTTAGCTAAATTGCACTTTGAGTTAGCCGCTGCTGAAGAAGATTCATTAGAGAGTGTTCACGATTTGAATGCTGCTAAAGCACAAGAAAATATGCTGCAATTAGTCCAACGTCTTGAACAATTATCGGTTTCGATTGAGCAGTTACAGTCAAGCCACTTAGGATTATGAATGTATAGATATGATTGGATTTAAATGTATAGATATAATCGAAGTTTTTAGATTTTCTTAAATAACTAAAATAAAGTACAGTAAATTTTCCTTAACGGTGTGTGTTCCTTAGCAGACAAAACTAAATCTTCCTAGTCAATTTTTGACTAACATCAACTCTAACAGCATAAACAGGTCAAACGTTATACTTATATAATTTTTTTCAAACTAATAATTTTTGAAGTGAAAATGAGTAGAATACGGGTCCTAAATAATAAATTATAATATTCTCACCACATGTTGCACAGAATATACTAGTTTTATTTACTTCAGTTGAAAAAACGGAGACATCTTGATGAAAATTTGTACACGTGCTTGGTTTAATGTACATTTCTCCCAAATCAAACAAAACACCGTGAGAAAATTTCATTTTGCCGTGTGGAAATTGTTGAAATCGGGATATCGGGCATACTTCCCATATAATTTCTAAAAGTGCGATAACTGTATAAATAATAATGTCATATAGATCTGTTCCGATATCAATAATTTTTTGGAAATCCTTCACATTTTTCAAAATACTTTACCAGTTGGCTTTATATAATTCCTATATGTCCTCTTTTCACAGTTTCAAATGAAAACGCCTAAGGGTGCCTGCGGAGTGGACGCTCAATGCCCAGCCGATTTTAGGTACCTCAGAGACTTTCGTATTATACTGTTCTGTTCTGTTTCTTGTTCGTAACAGTTTCATTTTAACCGCAAAGGATTTAGTTGGTGTATAATTTTATTTAAAACCAGACATGTATTTAATTAATGTATGTTTTGTGACAAAAAGAAAGAAAATTTACCTTGAAAATATTAATAGAGGGTATTCTAAATATTGTTCTACCACATTCATAGCAATTTCTCGAAAGCAAAATATGAGACCACCATACAAATGAACTATGTAACACGCGAGTCGGCGCCGAAAAACGCTTTAAAACTGGTTTTCACGCATTGAACTGATTCGTGTTCGTTAGCTTTGCGCTCGGCTCGGCTTTGAGCGTCCACTCCGCAGGCACCCTAATGCTGGAAACAGTCAGCGACATTCCGCCCTTCCATACTTACCGTGCGTATCGCAACAAATATATCAAAAGTTATGCCCGTTGTGGCAACGTAGAAATCAGTTGTTCTTTTTTGTTTTCACTGGACCAATGTTGCCATTGTTCAATTTGCATTCATAATTTTTCATACATTAATTTTTTAGTTATAATTTTTCATGATGTAAAAGCTCAAAACTAAAATCCAGCCATTAAAAATAGTCTACATATTTATAAATAAATATATTCGACTGTGATTTATGGAAAAAACACAATTTTCGCGGATATCATTATGAAAAATTATAACTGAAAAGCTAGATGCGTGCAAAATCATGTCTACAAATTGAGCAATGGCAACATTGGCATAATTTTTGACAAATTTCGTTTGATACGGGCGGTAAGTATGCAGTCACTAACTGAAGCATAAATTTTAAAATTTATGTTAAAATTTTGTTACATTTAGTATATCTCCGGAATTTTCTGTTAGATGGGTGAGTTTCACTCGCTATTTTAATAACCTTTGCAACATGTTGCTGCAAAGTATGATGATTTTGTTCACTTAACTGTTGTTTGTAAAAAACAATAAAAGAGAGAGCATCTTCTCAAGCCTACTTGAGTTTAATGCCAACGTAAATGGAAACAGAACAGACCTTTCTTAGTGTAATTTAGACCAATCTTAAACCGTAATGTAAAGTCATCAGGGTAATGTTATTAATAAAATTTGGTTAAAATTTGTCGAGTAGTTACTAAGACATATTTACTGCAAAATTTAACTATTCTCGTTAGCGAGTTATAGCACTTTTAATCGTTTTCAGCCTAACCTTTATCTATCTTGATTAGTTTTAGGTGTTACAAACCACCATTAGGTGAACAAAACTATTATACTCTGCGCAAGTTTTTGCGAGAGTATAAAAATACAAGATAGTAAACTTAAATTTAAGCCATTTGAAAAAAAAAAAATCGACTCTTTAAGAGCAGATTGTCTATAAGAAGTTATTTTGAAAAATTAAAACAAGCATATCGTTTATATGTATTATTAATATATTTTTATTATGTATGTATATATATTTAGTTATATATTTTCAATATTTTATATATGTATGTAGTCTAAATATTTTTATTTTGCATTTTTTATGCAATGATGGTAATGATAATAAACAAACAATTTTTTATATTCTTTAACATAATTTTCCTTTTCCCTTTCTTTATATTTCGCCTTTCATGTATCAATTAATTAAGTGTAAAGATTAATATTTGTTACAGTACACCTCATACCATTACTAAATAAAGCACATTGTTTTATTTTTTTCACTCATATTTATCAATACCATATTCAATAGCTCTTATAGAAAAAGGTGAAATGGGTATGAAAAAGTGAATATTCCATAAGCAAACAATAAATGTGTAATTTTCTAAGTTTTACTGAATTTCATATTAAACGATACAATGACCAATATTTGTTTAAGTATATACATAGACGCATACACATTTTTACTATACACGTTATAAGTCATATATATTTTTAATAAAATTTTCTCATCCATTTAAAAAAAATGAAATTGTTTAATTTGGTGGCCACAGTGCATCTAATAACCTGTTTTTAAATAATTACTTTTGATGATATTGATATATACAGATGCGTGCAACATAAAACGACATGCCCCTGTAAATATTTTGCATCTATTCGTAAAATACTGAGGGAATAAAAGTTATGTTTTTATTAGTTTCTCTCGAAAGTTGTTAAAAATTCTAGTAGGAAAACGTCTAAGCCATATCAAGACTCTTTGGTCTCACCTGCAAAAAATTAATGGGTTTGCTTAAAAATAGCGATCTTTTTTGAAAAAATGCCTTATTTAAAAACACATTAGCTGAACGAACCATTTATACTTTCTATTATCACACAGAAATGTTTTTCGAGATGCCCAAAAAATGGTTTTTTTGTTTTAAATATACCCATATCTTTCTTGTTAGTAAAACAAAGTTTTAAAATTTAACACGCAGATGAAAAAATTAACATATAATTGCTTCATCTTATCTCGTTGCTAATTAGTTGCACGCATCTATATATCATTTCTTTCTACATCTGTAATATATCTCTGTGTTATGATAAGTATCTTGTCAATAATTATGAATAAATCGTCGATAATAAAGAAATACTTAACCGGTATTTATATGCCATCTGTGTATGTACAATGACCACAATAAATGATTTTTTAATGCATAAAGCAGGAAATGGTTTCTGCTAAATTTTTTAAACTATGTTTAAATAAATAATTACATTCATTGTAAGTAAATATTTGTATTAGTTCGCATCATTCAGTCCAATGCATGTACGTAAATTAGATATTGTGTGGTCATTGTTTTAAAAAATTATATATTTATACGATTGATCATTATTCACAGGAAGTTAGTTCCCCAATTTTCCACCTGAACTATTAAATGCACAATATAATGACGCCTTCAAATACTTGTTCTTGAAAATACATAATGTATTACAAAATTTAATTGTATGGTCAATACATCCGTATATCTCATTTTTCGCCGTTCAAGAAATTTTCATTTTCATAACTGGTTGATCATTTTTAACGTATTGTATACCTTATATACAAAATGTCGGAATGTAGCCATATTAGCCAGTCTCCAATATTTAGACAATCGAAATCAGCTTTTGACATTGGCAAATGTATGGCCAGTTGTGTGGTTACCCGCAAATTAAAAAGGTTTACATATACTTTGTCTTATTAATAAGTATGGATGCAAACCGAAAATGGTAACCAAATTTTTTTTTATGTAAGCAAACCAAATTCATACATATATATATACAATAATTTCAAATGATTAAAAACTGTACCAATAGCTTTCTCGTAGCTTTTGCTTTTACAACATTACAAGTTATATATCGTAAACAAGTGGATGTTTTCAAATCTTAGATCTTCATTCATTACACCATAACCGATAAAAAAAAATATATACAAACTTTTAATTAAATTACCTTTCTTTTTCAATCGGTATAAATACTATAAATTTCATTTCTATTAACAGTATAGTTATTCAATAATAAAAGTCCTCATGTTGGGGTCATGGTAAAAAGTCAATGCACATCCATCCAACTACTTCTATAGGATTAAATAGATGATGATTTTCAATAATAAGCCGAATATTTATGATTCATTGCTTATTCTTTTGGCCTAAGCTTAAAACTAAGCTACGTGAAAAGCAATAAAAATGGTGTTCCATTATAAGGAAAAAGTTAATGATTATAGACATTTTTCATTGGTCAGAGAAAATGTATAATTAATTTATATCGACAAATGCCAAAATTAAAGTTTAAGTTAAAAAAAATTAAGATATCAGCATTCATATGTGCCATGTACTACATAGATAACAATTTTTGGATCTGTAAGTTGTTGCCACTTGGGTAGTAAAAACGATATCGATAAAGGTTATGCATAACTTATCATTATTATTAGAACTGGAAATAAACATAATAAATAATTAAATAAAATATCTTGTTATAATTATAATACCAAAAAAAAAAACTAAATAAATTAAAAGTTTGAGCCGTCCTTTGAATTGAGAGGCCTAGAGGAGATATATAAAAAAAAAACTTCAACTTCTCTCTTGCTTAAATATGGACTTATATATGTATTTGTATAACCCAAAAAGATATATTACATAGTATGATGATATTTAACTAATAATTATAATCGATGTTGTTGTGCCATGAATGCAGAATATTAAGCAATATGGATATCGATTACAAAAATTATTTAGGTGCAATTTGTTAATGCATTAAAAAATTTCGAAATAAAACTATTTGAGTTTTATTTAATAATTTAAAGGAGAATAAGATCTTTTGTTAATCTGCGCCAAGCATACACAATCCAAATAACAATTGATATTGGTAATTTCTAATAACACATTAGTTGAACTGGTACAGTGATAATAATTTTTTAACGTTCCAATTTTACACACTCTGACTGCTAAAATACTTAATGAGTATAAACGGAGATATAACTGCATATGTATTATAGTTTATTTATGCATTTCCATGTAGATTGGGGAAAGCGGGATATATGTACATATATGTATTTATATTCAGATTATTTTACATACATTAAATTCAAGTTTATCTGAGAGTTATGCGTATCTAAATACGCTAAAATAAGAAAAAAATATATAGAAAATATTGATGAATTGGAATATTAATGATAAAAAATAATAGGTAACCATGATAAGTCGTAAATAAATTTATTACACGAGAAATTTCCTTCTCACCAACAAGTTATTGTATTATACTGCAGTTATGGTATTATACCTGTGTTTTAAGCCAAGGTACAATTTTATAGTCGTAGTTAATTTTTCTAACAGCAAGATGAAGCTTTTTGGAAATGACACATATGAATTAACATTTGCAAATTTTGACCAGCAAATGAAGTAAACACCATATTTATTGGTTGTCTGCAGTTTGTCTTAATCTCATTTATGTAACGCTGTAGTTTTCACTGAAAATGCGTTAACGAATTTAAATAAACTCTCTATGGAAAATAAACTTAACTAAAATATGCATATCACAGTTGCCAATTGTGTTAAATATTTTAATTAAATTATAAAAGAAATCATTGTATTTTCGTTTCTATAGTTTGATTTCCAATGTTGAATAGGATTGCCCTTTAACAGATTACTTAGAATCAATTGAGAATTAGATTATAAACTTCCACCACCTTTGTATGTGTAGTATATATATATATGAACGTTCACACTTAGGTTAGAACATATGAGCTTTCGGTAGTTGAATTTCTTGAAAGAGTCTTAGCTTGTTTTTATTCATCGACACATTCACTATTTTAATCGTAAATGCATTGCTTTCTCGTTTTCATAAAAGGCTTGCATAATCTTCTTCCACAATAGTTATTTTCTGTCAAAATTTATCGCATTAGTGCTTTAACTAAGGTTGCAAATATAAATGTAAAAAACAAAAAGCAAACCATAAATAAAACTGCCTTTTCCTGATCGGTGAAACGTTTCCGGTTCGTATATATCGTAGTTAATTTGGTCATATATCGGCGTAATACACCATTTTGAGCATGATTGGATAAACCGATACCATGTACTAATAGTGCATTATTTGTTAGCGAATTATTTGAAGCAGCAGCTAAAAACGATGTCGTAGTTGGTGCAGATCCTACGGAATCTGATCCTGGACTTACATTTCCACCAAGAAATTGATGATGATGATGATGATGATGTAGTGGATCGTCACAACCAGCAAATTCCACTGTAGTCAATTCATTTGTCATTGATGTACCCAAAGGTATTAAGCCAATGGCATTAGGTCCAATTAGTATAGTGCTACCACTATTGTTACTACTATCGTTAATATTGGTGTTGCTATGGCCATTAAAACCGTTTGGGCTTGCAGCAGACGCACTTACTGAACGATGATGAAGACTGGTAATTGATTGTCTACTATTGTGGTGCGTATGGCTGTGAGAGTGATGTGTATGCAAGCTGTGAACATGATGTGCCAAGTGTGAATGGCCATGGCAATTCATGGAACCGTTGTTGCTGTTATTTATCCCTCTACCGCCTGTTCCAAAAACGCTGCCCATATTTCCTAATAAATTTCCATCGATATCGTCCAGTGCTGCAAGATGTGGAACTTGGTATCGGAATGCGGAAGTATATTGGCCAACTAAATCTTCACCAGATTTAGTAACACGAATAGGATAAACTCGAAATTGATACATGGTTCCCGGCTCAAGATTTTCAATTGTAAACTTAGTTTCTGGACCTCTGTAAATCTAGAAAAAATCAAAAAAACAGTTATCCAAAAGTTACATTTTTATTATTTTATTGTAAATATACGTTTTTCGTACTACCGACATCATTTACTTATTCATTTTCACAAATACGTTAAATTATAAGAACACGCTAATGTGAGATTTGCTTGTTTCAGATTTTAACTTAAGTACTGTAGTACGTAACGTTTGTTTTATTTACTATTTTTAAATGTTTAAAAACCGATCGGAATTTTAATTACATAATAAAAACAATATCCATACATACGAGTACATGTACATATGTATGCACATACACGTTTATCCGAATATACTAATTAATAATTTTTTTTTAATAAAAAATATGATTTTAAAATAAATAATTATCCATAAAATCGATAAATAAATGTAAAAATTTAGTGAAACTTACCCGTCTGTAGTCACCATCCTTACCAATTGCATACTGTAGTACGTATTCCACAGGATCATTGAAAGAATTTTTAGAATTTTGCCATTCTAGAGTAAGTGGTACACCTAAAGAGAGGTTTCCTAGGCCGGCAATAAAACTTGTAGGTGTTTCAGGAAGAATCCCGGATGGAACGAAACTACTTGCACTGCCGACACCGTGTGTTAGCAAACAGGCAGCTGCTCCTTCCATGGCAACCCTTGGAGCTTTAATGTTGCTCGGCAATGTAGGAGTCGTACTGAAAATATATTCGTCTGAAAATTCTCCGATTCCGGCGCGATCAGTACTTGCATATACGCGGAAGGTGTAGGCAGTACTCTCCTGCAACTTATTCACCTTACACATGCAACTTGTTCCCGAGTAAACTATCTGGAACTCTTTTGCACGTTGAACAAACATTTCTACATAGTATTTGATAAAATCAACGTTTTTACCATCACCCCATTTTAATTTTATAAAGTTATGACCTACTCCTGTACACTCAAGTGATGGTGGCGCCGGGGGTGAAGGTAATGTTGTAAATTTAGTGTAAGAAGAAAAGGGTCCGCCACCAATGCTATTAATAGCCTGCAAGCGAATTTTGTAAGTAGTTTCGGGCATTAAATCTTGGATTGTATATGTGGTATTTGCATCCGCAATGGTAATTGATTTATCTGCACATTCAATGGTATATCCAGTGATGCAAGCACCATTACATTCAGGTTTCGACCAATTTAATACTACTTTTTTTGCAGTAAATTCACAGTCTTTGATTTGTGGCGCAGCAGGTACTGCCGCTGGTGTACGCGCGTTTATGCATGTTGACCACTTACTCACTCCAGCCGCATTACTGGCATTCACGCGAAAGTAATATATAGTAAAAGGTGATAAATTTCGCAAATCGATACTAGTTTGCCCACCATGGTAACAGGTGTGGTATGCTGATGTTTGTGATGAATTTTCTAAACTAAGATCGGATTCATTTTCAACAGTTAAGCTTTCTAAGCGGTATTCCTGAATCGGTGCACCATTGTTACTAGGCTCTTCCCAATTTACTAGCAAATGCGTCGCCGACTTGATTATAACATTTAGATTTTCGGGTACGTTCGGAGGTGCCGCAGCTGCCGCGAAGCGAAACCATGATGACCAAGGTCCAGCACCAATGCGATTAATTGCACGAACCTGTACCTCGTAAGACCAACCAGGTTGTAGATCTTTTACCACACAAAATGTATCTCGTCCATGGTAAACAATTGAATAATCATTTGTTTTATTTGCAATAGCGTATTTATCATCTACAGAATGACGCATCTGTACTTCAAGTTCTAAAATGGGAGCACCACCATTATTTTCTGGTTTATCCAGTCTTAAAACCGCCGCATACGGACCTGGCGGACTGTCATAATAAGGTGGCGAAGGCGCCGCAGGTACTAAAGCTTCTGATGTAATATGGGCCACATCAGAATACGGACTAATGCCTGCAGGGCCTTCACAGGACGCACGCAACTGATACGTTGTACCTGGTTGAAGTCGATCACATATGCTCTCGGTATCAGTACCACTATAAATACGTTCAAACTTAGCACCAGATGTGATTTCGAGAAAATATCGAATTATTTCGGCGCCTCCCATATCTGTGGGTGGATCCCATCGAGCTCGAAAATGTGTTCCATGTATTTTTCCTTTCAGATGTGGTTTACCTGGTTTACCTGGTTTTTCAGGAGCTGTTTGGTAGGTAACCTCATTGGACCATGGAGAGCTACCCGCTTCATTTTCTGCACGTAACCGGAACTGATAATATGTAGCTCGTCGCAGTTCGCAACATTCATGACTCGTATCTGGACCATTGTAAGCGTTTAGGAAACCATGACCTGAATCGGGATCAAGTATTTGCAAGACGTAATCACCATCCTGTTGGCGTCGTTCCCACCAAAGACGAATAGTTGTAGAACTGCAGCTTTGGAGTTTCGGAGGCTTCGGTGCAATCGGCGGATTATTCGAGGTACAATATGAGCAAATAGTGGAATATAATGACATACCCACATCGTTGACGGCAGCCAGACGAAAATAGTATACAGTTGATGGCAGCAATTTAGTAAGAGTGTAATGCTTGCCTTTAGTTTTCGTTGCTTCGACAAAGTTATGATCTTCATTCTCAATATTTTGGAGTGAGGCGCGGGTAGATAGAGATAACCCGGATTTACCGTCGTCATATTCCAATAAATAATGCTGTATGGGTGAACCATTAGATGGTGGGTTCGACCAACGCAAATGCAACGAATTCTTCGTTCGCATTACAAGTTTAGGTGGCGTTGGCTGATCTGGTTCACATGGTGGAGTCATGAATTCGGATGCCTCAGAAGCTGTACCCTGCAACTTGTTATAGTATACCTGAAAGTAAATACATAATATATATGCTGCAAATATTGATACGCTGCTAGCATAGACAAACCTGAACTCGGACTACATACGTCTGACCTGGTTGAAGGTCTTGTACTATGCAATCATATGAATCGCCTTTATAAAGACTTTTGTATTTTCCGTCCTTAGCTCGATCACTAAGCAACACATTATAACGTAGATTCTTAGTATCAATTTGTGAGTCAGTCATTATTGGCCCTTCCCAAATAATTTTTGCTGATCGTGAAGTTAAATTAATTACCTTAAAAATATATGAAATAAAAAGTTTGATAAATTTTATGTTTATTGGTTTAATGGAAAACTCTATTTTTACTCACATTCGGTTTTTGTATAGCAGATAATTGCTCAATAATCAAAGCTTGAGTGTCCTCCTCATCTGCGAAGATATTTGAATTAAACTCTCCTTTATCTCCTTTAGAACTAGCTATTTTGACACCATAACTTAGCCCACTTGGGGATACATTTGGTGCTATGCTTCCATTTCGTTGCGTAGTTTGAGAGTGCAAAATGTTTTTTTTTAATGGTTGCCGCAGTGGAGATGTATCCTGTTTTAGTTGGACAAGACTTTTATTGATATTAAGAACACTTTGAACAACTCCTAATCCATTGTCACTCGAACTTTTTACAGAAGAATTTGAATTAGCTGTATCCGATGGCGAAACCCCTGAAGTTGCAATAACGTGATCGTGATTATTTGTTCCATTGACAGGGCTACTGTTTGCAGAGTTAACTGAAAGATTATGATACCCGTTTAAGTCGCTACAACGAGGAGGTGCTTTATGTGTCGGTGTTGACATACCAGAATTGTTTAATAAAATAATAAGATATAAATTATAGATCGTATAAAGTTCACTTCAATAGATTAATACTCAATGTATGAGAGCATAAACATTCAAAGTCGTAAAAATGAAAACAATTATTTGGTGTAAAAAAATTGCCACATTTTAATTGTTAAAAATGTTATAACAATTAAAGAAGGTCTATGTTCCGATTTTCAAGGATCAAAGCCAAAGGGACGAAATTTGATATACATATTATGTATATGAGAAAAAAGTCAACCAGAGGGGCGGAAAATATTATATTGGAGATATCGGGCTAAACCAAGGCTCAATTTTTATTCCATTTTAAGCGTAATTTTAAATGATACCCTGTTTGTGGGAATTTTATACATTAAAAGTGAAAGAAACAGGTGTAATTTAATATTGTGGACGGGAAGTAGGTGTGGTTGTGATCCATTTAGTGGAGTAGTTGCTGAAGTACGGTATTTTACATAAAAGTGGGCGATTTGACTTCCATCATCCCATTTTTATACTGATTCATATGCATCCATACCGTATAATCCTTACTTTAGGACTGAATTCTGACGTGTTAGCTTATTGAGTTATCGCTACGGTGCTGGAGGGAAATGTGTCCAGCAAGTTTCGTTGAAATAGCTTTAGTAGTTTGTTAGATGTGTATATAAAAATTATCAGGGACAACTTATAGAAACTTCTCTACCCATAGTTGCTCCTTTCTACTGTGATATTCAAATTATCACATTTGTGGCATAGTTATCTATCACTATGTATATTTTTGTTACGTTTCGTTTCATCGATATATCTCCATTTTTACTGAAGTTACTCTTGCACGGACAGACGTTCGCATGGATTTCAACAACAGTTAAGTGAACAAAATTATTATACTCTGTGAAACATACATATATAAACTACAAAAAGGTAGTAGTAAATAATAAATAATCATAGGTAACTACATACGTACATACATATGTAAATACTTTGTATATGTGGTACATATGTACATATATAAATGTTTGAATAAATTCACCTCTTATTATATATCCTACGTAAATTAACTAAACGCGTTGCAAAATAAATACTCACTCATTTCCCGTTGTTTCTCAAGTTTCCTTAGTAACTTTGTGTGTTGTCGTTGGGTACGCTCGTCTTTATGATAGCTATTAGGAGGTGAAGGCGAATGTGATAAAGTTTGAGATCCTGTTTGCTGTGGTTGTGTTGTCGCTTTTTGATGTTGAGAAAGTTGTTGCGTTTGCACGTGCCCACTTGTCAGAGTGTGGAAATGTGCTGGCCCACTACCTGGGTTTGGAGCAAATCCCGCAGGAAGGGTTGGGTAGAATTGAGAAGATCCACCAGCCTGCATCTAAAAATAAATATAATGATAACAAAACTTTAGTGCTTAATTAAAAGAAATAATTTTATTAATCAAGCCTATAACCATGCGAATATACTATGTGAAGAATCATGATTCATCAGAATTTTTAAATTTAATAGTGCACCAAGCCTAGTATTTACATATGTATGTACCTATGTATGTATCTAAACTTACAGTTACATTAATTTCAAAACTGATTTCCGATTCATATGACAAACGGTGTATTAGTTTAGCAAAATTAAATTGATTGAATATGTGTTTTATACATTTGACGTGGCCTATCTTTGCTTATGTTTTCTTCTTTGTAAATTGCAGTGTTGCCAAATCACACAAAAATAATAAAAATGTTACAGATCACATAAAAAAGTAATTCATTATTTATTTAGTACACAGAAAAAGAAAGTATTGTCATATAATCAATTTTATTGTTTGAAATTACTATAAAGTAAAGAATTTTTATTTATTTATTTAATATTTTTTTTAAGTTTATAGTTTTTTATTCCCAATGCACTTTTTTTATCCTAGCTCCATAACAAATCCCATAAATAGTGTAATGTATCTTTTAAATACATTAAAGTGTTAATAAATTTTCCTTTTTCTTAAGAGACATTATTTCTTATAAGCTCCCTTGACACGGATGAATATTTGCTCTAAATTATTGTTTGTTATTGCAATTTGTTCTGTATGGAGACTACGTTTACAGGCGATGAAGACACCACCACCACACACCTGATCGTTGATGAGAGAAACACGGTCTTTACGGTAAATACTATATGTTGAATCAATGACTTCACCATCACATATGGATGAGTGAAGCCAGGATTCCGATCCGCTAATGCGGTTTGAAATGTTGAGAGCTTTGTACGCAGACCTCTGACGTTCTGGTAGCACATGTGGACGTAAGATACTTTCTTTTTGCTCGTTGAGCGCAAGAAAATTTCTTTTAACGATTCTTGGGACACCATGGATATATTTAATTGTGTTACTGTCATCACCACTCTTCACGATTGAATCAAGCTCTTGACGCAAAATTTTTCAGATAAAGTTGTTGAGAGGGAGTTAGATCAGTCTTGAAAATAAAACCTGAGTTTTCGTCTGTTGGTCTGTATTTGATAATGGAAAGTGCATCGGCTGCTGAGCGGGTGGTAATGTGAAGAGGACGTGTACGTCCAGGTGTAGGACGACCCAGTCTACGTAACTTGAGTTCAGTGGCCTCATCATTGAGACTGGGAGGCAAAGCTGTGACTAACTTGGTTCTGTCATCCTCTAAACGGTCCTTTTCAGCAGCTTTATCATATATATGAGTCACAGTTCCAAACTGTTTCTTTTTTCTTAATGCTGTTGGCGATGGATTTAAACTCATCGGATGAAAGGTTGGTGCACTTTGAGTGAAACCAACGTCGACAAGCCGCACATTGAATACTTGGCTCCGTTTTATCCCGGATTATGTCTGAGCAATAACCACAAATCTGTTGTGTTGTATTTACTTTTTTGGGTGGCATTTTGTAAGTACACGATACAGGAAAAAAGATATGTTCCAAATAATTCCGGAGTAATTTTTTATTTTCGTGTATTATCAATTCATTCATTCACTCTATGATGTCTAATTCACAATCAATGTTAATATTTGTTATGCTCTTTATTATTACACCTCACAATATTACGTCGCACACACCTTTCTTTGTTGTACGAAATTCAATTATGGTTTGATATCAAAATTTAATTGAACTTTTCTTTGTACATCCTTTATATTTTCTTATAAGAATTATTATATATCTTTTAAGGAAACATATATGAGGCATTAATTTAATATTCTTTCACTTTTATATATACGATTGATGCAATATTTTCAGATATTACGGAGTACTTTTCACTATGCACACTGCACATGTTATGTCAGGGTTGTTATCTGCGTTTTCAAACTAATAACAATCCTCTTTCAGTACACATCCACATGATGATACGGTGATAATATTTTTTAAATCAGAAAAATGCAATAAAAAACATTATGCGACCATCAGTACCGCCAACGATTTAGAGAAATAAAAACAACTCATCATTTCTTTACATCTAAATCGCTTACTCACATCAAAAGAGTAGAAGTCTGTTATATTTTTCGATTTTGGTTTATGTTCAGGGCCGGTGCGTGACAATTTACCACCGTAGGCAAATGCAAATCCTCCGCCCCTCCTAAGTATATTTTGCCTTAACAACAAAATTTAACCAAACTTTTAATTTTTGAAAATTATTCCGGTAATTAAAACTACTCCCGTTGCTGTTTATAATTTGTATTAGAATGCGAAAATATGATGCTATGGTTTTTGTATATTATAAGTATATAAATGAAATAATAAAGTAGCAAATTATTTAAACTAAAAAATAAATAAATAAATAATTAAAAAAACGTAAAGAAAATTACGCAAAATGCGGCCATCAAAATTTTTTGTTTATGTTGATTACAAGAAAAACAAAATTCCAAAAACTTTGACGTTATAATTAGCAACAACGACGTCTGAGTGCATTGACTATTGATTTAATGGCAGAAGATGTTTTCGGTATTGTTATAAAGAATTAAAAAAAAGGAACTTACGAAAGGTGCATGCATATGTCCTTGACCGGAATGGATCTGTTGATATTGGGGCGAAAGCACAACATGTGCAAAAGTTCCGTTCTCGTTAACATATTGCTGCATCATTTGTCCCTGCGGTACTTGTACCGGCACTGTTATCGATGGAGGGCGGTTTTGAGAAACCATTTGAACTGTTGCTGGACCTGCAAATAATTTACAAAACATAGCTCAAATATCAACTTAATTTACTTTGTTAACAAAAAGTACCAATATTATTTGTACTGGAGAGTGAAATGATGGCATTATTTTAGGAAATCCAAAATATTTTTTCCAACAATTGTTCTTTAAACACGATACGAGTTTCTTAGTAAAGTTTAAAGAGCATAAACACTTGTATTAGTATACAGCATTTTGGTGAAAAGAGTGGTGCACAATATGATTCTAAATGCCTACCAAATTTACTTTATTCATTTCTAGTCTGCATCTCAAAACTTCTGTTCATCAGCTTAGGCTCTTCTATTTCCTTTAATACCCCCTATTTGTCAGAATTAGATTTATTCAACCAATTTTTTTGAAAAGAAACATTCATTAGAAGATCTAGATCATATCAAAGGAAGTAGTTTGAAAACGAATAATAATAACCAATTATAATTTGTAAACTTAGTAGATGGTAACTAAACATGCATGTATAAAGAGAAAAAGAAATTTTAACTAACACTTAATAAATTGTTATGTGATCATATACCATACATACGAATACATAGACATATGTATGCCTAACATAGTCAAACACATTTGTACTCTCGCAGCATGTTGCTACAGAGAATAATAGTTTTGTTCACCTAACGGTTGTTTGTATTACCTAAAAGCAATCGAGATAACTAGATATAGGGTTATCTATACAAATATTATAAAAAGGAAATATTTGATTGTTTGTTTGTTTGAATTGAATAGGCTCCGAAACTACTTAACGGATTTGAAAAATTCTTTCACCGATGGGAAGCTACACTATCTCCGGTGTACATATGAGTATGATATATTATATTAAAAAAAATGTTATGGATCCGTACAATAATGTAACTTAATTAATTACATCGCGTGCGCTGCGAATACTATTAATTATAGGAGAAAATGATGTACTATGACTTTGCAGAACACATAATTATCTACAAAAATGTGGCGACAGCATATGTCTAACTTTTATACATAAGTATAGTTTTATTTTAATAAAAGAAAAGGGTTAAAATGCTGCCTCTGGAAAAATCCTTTATTTGTACCTCAGTATTAATCCTTATCAAAATTAATTACTTTATATTCAAGACTGATTCAATATCTTTAAATGACTTCATGAATTATTCAATTTGGACATTCCATTCGTAAGATATCACGAGTTTAAAGATGTAAGTATTAGAAAAAAGTCGCGTGGTGAGCGGTGACCCGCTCGGCTAGGCTGCAACATAATATGCGATGTAGGCATAATTGAGACACGGAAGGCGAGTCAGTGTCAAGAAATAAAGTGCAGTGCGGCTCAGTCGCCCAGTTGGTCCCCTACGAAGGGGTCGGGTGCAGAATTAAATATAAATAATATTAATTGCTTGATATTCACATCTCATCGTCTATATGAGGTCCTCATCTCGTAAGTGGCATGGCAAATGAACTGATCTGCTAGTATATGTATAAATGATCAGGCTGACAAGACGAGTTGAATTCCGAGTGACTCTCTGTCTGTCCGTGCAAGCGAAAACTTGAGCAAACATTGAGATATACAAGGTGCGTTCCAAAGTAAACAGGACTTTACAAAAAAAGACAGAACAAATAGTTTTATCGGCAAAATCAATTAATTTTATTCAAAATAATCTCCTTCTGCTGTAATACAGCTTTCTGCTCGGTCCAAAAGCATGTCGAACGAGTGTTTTAGGCCGCCAGTATGCCGGTGCAAGCCTTTTGAATGGCCTCCACGTCTGCATAACGTTTTCCTTTCATCGGCAAATGCATTTTTCCGAAAAGGTAGAAGTCGCACGGTGCCATATCAGATGAATACGGGGGGTGGTTGATTGTTAAAATGTGATATTTGGTCAAATAATCGGCCACAAGCGTCGATCGATAAGACGGCGCATTATCGTGCAACATACCACAACTTCTATCTTCGCGATATTCGGGTCGAACACGTCGAATACGGCGCACAAAACGCTTCAAAACTCCAAGGTAGAATACCGCATTAACGTTTTGGGCGGGTGGAACAAATTCTTTGTGGACAATACCCTTGGAATCATAAAAACCAATCAGCATTGTCTTCACTTTTGACTTCTCCAGGCGCGATTTTTTGGGTTTCGGCTTATTTCTCATTTATGTCCTCACGACCACTTTGAAAACGTTGAAAACACTCGTTCACTCTGCTACGGGATAGGCAATCATCGCCATAAACTTGTTTCATCAATTGAAACGTTTCGTTAAGTTTTACCAATAAAGGATAGCAGATTCTAACGCACTAGTCGACATATAGATGGGGCCACTAGAGTTTACTTTTTTACTGTTTACTTTGGAACGCACCTTGTATTGATGAAATTTGGTGCACATGTTCTTCGGCATCAAAGGGAGGTTGGTATTGCAGATGGGTACTAGTGGGCTATTGCCACATTCATAAAATGCCATTAGGCGAAAAGCTATAACTAAACTCCAAATCAAGACATAAAGCTGGAATGTGGTACAGGGAATCGCAGTCGTAAAAGGCACATGTTGGGCTGAAATTTTTTTAAAAGTGAGCATAGTCCCTAGTAGGTTTAATGTACATATCAACCAAATTGCTCAGGACAAATATTGTAGGAGTAACCACCAGATAAACGGCGATAATTTAACAAAAAAAATACGACAAGAACATTTACTTTTACAAACAAGATGATATGAAACAGCATTATAGGAGCTGGTATGAAAATTAGACATTAGGCGTGGCCTACCTTTAGGTGAAATCCTATATCTCAGGATCTGCCTAAACAAATTTCAATCAAATGCGGTACATAACATTATCTTGACATTCCCATATAACATAACGGTGGGAAAATAAGCGAAATCGGACTACATTCACGCTTACTTCCCATATAACACAATTTTAAATTACATATAATTCTTCCACTTTCCACAAATCAAGCACCAAAGGATATATTTGGATAAAACTTTGTAAAAATAGTGCCTTTATAATATATCTCCAGTCGAAATTTGGTTATAAACTAATCATAATTGTTCAAAACCCCAGATATAGAATATCAGTCTATAGGGTGTTCGAAAGTTTCTATAAATCACATATTAAGGTACCTAGGAAATTCCTTAAAAGAACTAAACACTCTCAACACACTACCCTTGATAACGGTATCAAATTTAATGACTGGGTTTATTGAAATACGGAAACCAGTGAAAAGGTGAATCACTTGTATATTCTTGATAGAATCTTAAAGAAAACCGGTGGAATTTAATAAGAAAATACGTTCTTATATATATTTATTCCCCTTCATTCATTTAATTTAATTTGATTTCATTATAACATAGTAAATGACGTCTGCTCTTTAACCGTTTGTTCTTGTATGCAAAGCAGGATTAACTACATACATATATATACATATGTACACTTAAGTCGGTGTCGTTATCAATCAAAAGCTCACGAAGACAATATCGACGCGAGGAGTTACAAGAAGGTAATGAAGTAGCAGACGAGACGGCGAGACACCTTTAGTTTTAAGTGAAGTCAAGCGGTCATTTAAATTTAACAAGCTGCACGTAAAGTTAGCATCAAAGTAAAACAACGATGAACGATACACGTTATACAATAACCATACGCACCTTACTACCTAAATAGGTAGACCTATATATGTATGTATAGATGTGTACGTGAGTACGTATATGCTTATATACATATTTTTGCACAGGAAAAGCTAAAGCGATAATCATGCAAGACCACCTTCAATTGTCGTGAAAAACACTAAAAATATATTATATATAAAGGCATGTATTTTATTTGCTTGTTCTCTTTTGTGAAAATAAAACCTATTAATTGAATAAAGTTAGTATTAACAAGTAGGAAAAACCAAACTTGAGTGTAACCCAGCAGCGGTATGCAAACATACTTGTATGTATAAAAAATGTCAATGTTTAGTAGTATAATTATTGTGTGGGGGTTAACTAAGTCATGTAAAAAACTCGCATTATTAAAGTGCTCTTTATATAATAAAGATTAGGCACTACTCTAAAAAATTTATTATTTTCCACCTTTAAAAAAGCATTTCGTGATGAAACATTTTTTTTTAGTCGTAGTCAGAAAGTTGTGACAATCATAATCAGACTTTGGAAAATGTTACTTACTGAATTATAATAGTAATTACTTTAAATTTCCCGAATTACATTCATTTGTAATATCAACCCAGCTGGAATACCAAAAAATATTTGTACCACGGATAACCCTATATCTCAATATTAAGTCAATTAATGTCTGCACTATGTACTGAGTTTCATTACGACAACTCAATTATTACTCGTGTTGTCGTATATCCGGGTGGACGAAGTGATAGGTAGGCTTATAGGCTTGATCACTTCAAGGTAATGAATGCGAGACAATTAAAGTTGTTGACGTCATCATAAGTGGACATGATTATTTAAGTGCCGTTGTAAATGCGAAAAGGAGAAATTCCCACTTCGTTAAAATGCATACATATGTATGTATGTCGGAATATTGTCTAAATGTATAGAACAACGCCCTCGGTGAAACCTGAAGCCTTAGAAACGATTATTTAAACGAAATAAAAAAATTCATTTCGAACACCTGCCCAAGTAGGATTTCTATCTTCAAGCTATTATAACCGGCAACGAATATATTATATGTACAATAGGATATGTGTACATATTCGTTGGTGTGGAAGTGTTTGCGCGTTTTAAAGCTCATTGAACTTCATATAATGATAAATTCTATATGAATATTTTAAAAATATATAATGCACATATCCATATATATATGGGTCATTCCATCGAACATTTACATTCAAACATTTTTTTTTGTGCTCTTTGAGACAAAATATTGGACACATACTTTTTTATTTCGACTCAATATGAAACATTTTGGAGTTATGAATTTTCAAAAAATCAACGCTCGAAAAAAGTACAAAAAATTTATGAATGTAAATTTTCGATCGAAAGACCGATACATATGTATATCATACAT